CAGTTCTCTCCTTGTACTGTGGATTCCTGGGATCAAAGTCAGGTCCTCAGGCTTCCCTGAGTATCTTTACCCCACTGATCTTTAACTCCATCTGGTATATTCCCAAATATCTGGCCTCCCCTCCCCACCTTCTGTACCTGTACTAATCCTAGTAAACATTATTTCCGTGGATTATTGCAATAGGTACCTAATTAGTGTTCCTTCCATTCATCACCTCCTCACAACATTTAACTCTTTATGGGGTGGGGCAATCAAAGAAATGGGAAGTTAATGTAAAGTCTTTTATGTATCTTAGGCTGGTGTTGAATTTACTATGTAGCTGAGGGCAATCTTGAACTACCTATCTTGCTGTCCTTAGTTTCCAAGTGCTGGGATTACAGGTGTGTACTATCACACATGGTAAAAGTTTAATAATTGTACATGTACATAGGGACCTTCACAAGAGAGCAAGGTTTACATAAATGATCAAAATGACCATAGCAAAATACTTTCAAAAATTACATTTGATTGATTGTGTGTGGGGGGGTTGGGGGGCATAAGTATTATGTGGGTATGCATGTATATGTGGAGGTTAGAGGTACATATGGAGGTCAGAGGACAACTCGTGGAAATCAGTTCTCTCCTGCCACCATGTGGAACCCAGGGATGGAATTCAGGTTATCAGGCTTGGTGGCAAGCCTTTACCTACCAAGCCCGTTTACTCACTGAGCCATCTCACCAACTCTCATAAGATACTTGTATAATCTTTGGACCTAGAATGATATTTATGAAGGAATGATAGATGAATGGGTTTGTGTGGGAGAGGTAATTTCTAGAAATGCCAGTAGATGAAGGAAAGGATGAAAAGTAGTGGAAAATTAAGACTTCTTAATGAATTTGCTTATTCAGGTTCATTTATATTCCCAACTTCTGGTATCTAGTGGGAAAAAATACTCAACTTTTTTTTTCCCTCTCAGTCCAGAGAGATCAACCCTCTTGAAAGAATCCTTATGACTTGTCAGATACACAGAAAGAGCAAAAGGGAGATTTCAGCTTGAAATAATCAGTATACCAGTTTAATATATTTTGAGATGATGTATTCTTCAGTCTGAAAGCCAGAACTCTTTTTAGTAAGAAATTGTGTTTTCAAGTAGTTCAGCTACTTTGATCATGGTGGTATAATTTAATTTAGGCTCTGTGAAATTGAAGCTATTTTTTTTTTGTTGTTGTTTGTTCCTGTTTTTGTCCTTACAGACAAGGGAGGCGTTGGTTTAAAAGGCAAAAGAAATCAGTTATCTAGAAGAAAGGTATTTCAGTGCTTTTTTTTTTTTGGTCCTTTTGAGACAGTGTCTCCCTGTAGCCCCACTGGCCTGAAACTCATTATGTAAACCAGTCTGGCCTGAAATTCACAATGCTGGGTGGCATGTGCCACCATGCCCGACTTTCAGTGAATTTTCAAATAAAGAATTTTTACTAGAATGTAGATGTTTCACAATGCAAAGAAAATGGTTGTACAAGAGACGTATTCTTGTCATTTGCTACTTGATTTTGCTTGTTATTTGTATGTGTGTGGTGTGGTGTGTGTGTCTGTGTGTATGCATGAGCACAAGTGTGCAGGTACCACGATGTGTGTGAAGGTCAGAGAGTCAGTCAGTTCTCTACTTGTACTGTGGATTCCTGAGATCAAAGTCAGGTCTTCAGGCTTTCAGGCTTCCCTCAGTGCTTTTACCCACTGAGCCGTCTTGGTGATCTTGCACCCCGCCCCCCAGTAGGACTTGGGAACTTAAAAAGATGCTTCATTCTTTTTAATAGCTATATAAGTCCTGTATTTAATTACGTCACTGGTGAATAGATGATAAGCTGTTTCCAGTTGCCCTCCCTTCTTTTTTGAGATAGGCTTTCCTGTAGCCCAGTCTGGTCTTAAACTCACCATGTAGCTGAGGTTGGCCTTGAACTCTTCTGCTTACTCCTCCCAAGTTTGATGTTACAGCCCTGTGTCACCACACTAGCTCATTTTTTTAGTTTTTAGCTATACGCTTTCTTTTTCATAGATGTTTGTGAGATTTAACCTATGGAGCAAATTCTTACAAGTTTTGGGTCAAGAAGGTATGTACATTTAAATTATCATAAATATTGACTGTTCCCTTATTAGTTTACATTCCTATCCATAGTATTTATGGGGATTGGGAAATACTCTTTGCTAAGGATTAAATGGTAAATATTTTAGGCTTTCCAGCCCACATAGGGTCTCTGCCACAGTCTCTTCTGTATGATTTTTATGGCCATCTTCATTCTTATTTTATCAAAACTTCTTGTTATTGCCAAACTATATGTAAAGGTGGTATTTTGTTGTATTTCTAATTGGCATCGCTCCTGTTGACCATTGGTATTTCCTTATCTGTGGGATGTTTTTAAAAATCCTTTGTTTGGCCAGGCATGGTGGTGCTCTCCTTTAATCCTAGCTCTTGGGAGGCAAAGGCAGGTGGATCTCTGTGAGTTTGAGGCCAGCCTGGTCTACATAGTTCTAGGCCAGCTGGAGCTACAGAGGAGACCCTGTTTCAAAAAGACCACACCAAAAAATCTTTTGTTTTTATATGTATTTGGTTGTAATATAGTGCAATGAACCTTTTTAACCAGTTTTTTGGTCTTCTGCTTTTTCTCATAAGTTTTTATAGTTACTTTTGATGTTTAATACTTTTATTAAATAAATTTGCCTTATACTGAATTTTGTGTCATCATTACAAAGATTTGTTCTTTATGATGTACTAGTTCTAACATGATTTATTTCCCTTTTCATTGTCTGAACTTAAATATATCTGTAAGTTATTTGGGTCTGAGTTACAGGAGTTTTTCTGTTTAGCTACCTTTCTACCCATACTATGCCCTGAATGTAAATGTAAATAGATAGTAAAAGTTGTCTGCAACATTACTTGTTAGTATTAATTCGTATCTACTATAGAACTTAAGCTGCTGATCTCTCATAATAGGCATTTTAGCATGAAACAGTTACAGAGCATGTTTCATGTGGTTTGCTAATAAGGTTAAATGTTGAATAAAAGGGACTCAAATGATGACTTAGAGTGCTTATAGTCTGGTAGAATTCTGTGTTGTGTATGCTTCCCTACTCTCTTATTCTGAAAAGTTTTAAATAAATGGAAAATAGGACCATGAAAATACCTGTAATATTGGTTACTCTGTCCTGTCTTTCAGTCCCTATCTCTGCAGTATGCTGTGAAAAAGTAGGCATGTTGAGGCCTTGCCTGTAAGGTTTTAGCGTCTGTTTACCACCTGTTGTGTGACTTCTTTTAGAAAGTATACAAGTATGATTTTCCAATTATTCCACATTGATTAGTAAGCACTCTTCTGATACAGTAAAAATATAAATAACTTTTCTCCCCCTCCCTTTGTTGACATCATTATGAGCTCTAATTTCTATTTATTACCATACTATTTCTAATTCTTTTGTTTAGCTGTTTTTATAGCTCTATAAGGAACTCCAGTCATTATAATTATTTTAATTATTTTGTCCTTAGAATCTAGCATACTACTTAATTAACACAGAATATGTGCTGAATGGATGCGTTGGTCCTTTAGAGAATAGGGAGCTGTTGAAGGATTTCAGGAGATGGTTTAATATGGAAGGAATAACTTATGTTTTAGAAAGATGTCTGAGGAGAGGGTAACTTGATGAAACTTTTATTTGGATTCTGCATGTTAAGATTTGATTACAGATAATCAAATATGGGACTTTATTAGATTATGGAATCCAGGTAAGGATTAAAAAAACAACCAAATAAAGGTTCATTTGGACTTTCTGGGCAGTAAAACAAGGAGGCCATTAGTATTTCAGTCTTGACTTCATTCTGTTTTTAATAAGTTCCAGTTTGCCTATTCTTGGACCAATTATATATGGTTTGGACATAGAATTTATTAGAATATAGTTTCTTTAGGGTTGGGGCTTTAGCTCAGTGGTAGAACGCAAGGCCCTGGGTTTGGTCCTCAGCTTCGAAAAAAAGAAAAGAATATAGTTGCTTTATAGGTAGTTAAGTGAATTTTGTGCTCTACTGAAGATGAAGTATAGGAAGTGATTTGGAGTGTTAGAATTAGGTGCTGAATGGAAGAAATGGATTTTAGAGAGATGAAATAATATAGTTAGTAGAATTTATTCATGGAAAAGGAGAATTGGAATAATTTTCGATCATGAACAATTGGTAGTTTGGTGAGTCATTTAATCAAGTGAGGGAAAAAATAAATGAATGCTTGAAATGAGTAAATAATGAGTTTGAGTTTAGAGATACTAAGTTGGAGTTTCCTACAGGAGGGAACTAGTTAAGATCTCTTTCTTTGCAGGTTTGTGAAGGAGAAATGAATGAAGGCAGTATAAACTTGGATTTTCTTTGTATTGTAATAGGAAAGACTTCAGTGTACAGTTAAGAAGAGAACAAAATGCCTACATTGTACTTTTAGGATTACATACTTAACATTGTAAACATTAACTGCATTAAGTCTACACTAGTGTTAGTATAGAGAAATGGGATTCTGGCACTAAAGGCTTGGGTTTTATTACAGTGAATGTTCTGGGTTCAACTACCTAGAACACTTACTATAAAAATTAGCACTTTCAAATTCCATTCTGTGTTTCAGTTGTTTTGTTAGTGCCTCTTTATACATAATTGTCACTAAGCCTCACCACAAATTAATTTCCAAGGTGAGTATTATGCTGTTTTATATACAGACTCTATAATTTCAGCATAAATATGTCTGATTCTAAAGTTGGTGCTCTTTTCTCTGTATCATATTGTCTTCTTTCTAACCTGAAGAGGTCTTTCAAGTTTTGACTTCCCGTTTCCTTAACTGTCACATAGGGATAATGTCATCATAAATGTTAAATGAATACTACCGTTAATATTATCTATTATATTTGAAAAGGAAAAATATATTAGGTTAAATACCAGGCAGACCTTATAATTATGGTCACCTTTAGCGCTATCGCTTTTCTAAACAGTATTTTACTTTTTAAGGTGGTGGTATCATGGATACAGAAATGTCTGAAGATATAGACCACAACTTAACTCCTACCCTTGACAGCATGTCTTTTGGAATGCCGAATCAAACAGGATCTGAAAATTCATTGCTGGATGAAGATGATTATTTTTTGAACTCTGGGGATCTTGCAGGAATTCCAGTCGTTGGTAGTGACAATGAGGATGAACAGAATTTTAGTTCAAAGGACAATCTTGTTTCTTCAATTCATACTGATGATAGTTTGGAAATAGAGAGAAGAGCCACTCAGCATGAATCAGACAATGAAAATGAAATACAAATTCAAAATAAATTAAAAAAAGACTTTCCTAAACAATTTGATCAGGTTTCTGTCTTTAAATCAATACGAAAAGATTTTAGTTTAGTAAGAGAAAACAGCAAAGAGACATTTTCTGGAAAGGAGAAAAATAGAGACCTGACTTATCATGAACGTGAAAAACGGTTGGATAAACCCCATAAAGATTTGGATACAAGGTTGAAAAGCAGTTTTTTTGATAAAGCAGGTAATAATTGTTGGATTAGAACCATACAACACAATAACAAAGTACCAATAATACAGCTTTTATTACTTTAATGTTAAATGAAATATGAAGTTTTTAATTCATTGTCAGTTTTCTCTTATCCTTATGTGAAGACTGATTGAATTTTTCCCTAGAACTATTTGTTGTGGTGTAAGTGATTGACAGGTAGCTTTAAACCACATTTTCCCCTTCTTTGGTTGAACCTTGGAATCTGAAGTTGGGCCTTGTGCTGTAAGCACTGATTTAAACTACTATCCCACCCATTAGTCTAAACTTAAAAAATTGAACAATTTCCTCATTTTATACTTTTAATAGTTAGTTGATGCTCCTTTTGATTCTCTTTCCACAGTGTACCCTGTACTTTAGCTTCAGTTCTATTCTTAAATATCTTTCTTATATGCCTTCCTTTCCTGCTACTCCATTTGTATGTCAGTTTTTTCTCTGCGTATATCTATCATTCTGTACACGTACATACGTACGCACACACACACACACACACACACCCGTATATCTGTCATTCTGTACACGTATGCACACACACACACACACACACACACACCCGTCCGTATATCTGTCATTCTGTACACGTACACACACACACACACACACACACACACACACCCGTATATCTGTCATTCTGTACACGTACGTACGTACACACACACACACACACACACACACGTAACAGTACTTATCCAGTATGCTTCATAAATCTCTTCCACTCTAGTCAGAATTTCTAAGAATGGTTCCTTACCCATAGTTCCACATTTTGTTTATGCCTTAGTTACAGTATTTATCATAATGTCACAGGTTTTGACTTATTTTTTTTTGTGTGTGTGTGTTACCTATTAGAGGAGTTTCTTGAAGGCCAGATTGTGTTTTACTCATCTTTGCATTCTTAGAACTTAATCTCATGTGATGTAGGTTATAAACCTTCCACAAATGTTAAATTGATTTGTAAGAAACCAAGTACTCGTATCAATCCATATATTTCTTCAGGCAGTGACAGGAAATATATTGTAAAAAGAACAAACCAGTATGTGAAAAGCAACAAATATTTTGAGTATAAATTATGTACAGGGCTATGCAAGGGTAGACTATATTTCCAATATGTAAAATTCAATAATTTTAGTATCCCTTCAGTGGATATTGAAATTATAGGAATCCTTTTTCTGAAGGAACATTATGTCTTGTAGTAGAAGGGACAAGACAACTCAAATAGTAGAGGTGCCAGTGATGAGGTGATACCTTAAGATTGAATTTATAATGCAAGATAGTGGCAGAGTTTGTTATAGGACTGCAATATTTATCTTAATTAACTGAAGGGGTGAGTTTAAATGATTATTTTTTTTATTTTTTGACACAGAGTCTCACTTATAGCCCAAGCTGGCCTGGAACTCATAGCAGTTCTCCTGCCTAGTCTCCTGAGTGTTTGAATTAGAGGCTTGAGCCACCATACTCAGGTTAAAATTGGGATCATTTTGTGTTTGTCCGTTGCATGTTTCCCCCCCCCCCCAGTGCTGTATACTAAACTCAGGCTCTTTGTGTATGCTAGACAGGCACTCTACTCTGAGCCACATCCACATTTTGTTTATGCCTTATAGTATTTATCATAACATAATTCTTGGGATAATTTTTTTTTCCTTTTTTGAGATGGGGTCTCCCTGTAGCCCCAGCTGGCCTGGAACTGGCTATGTAGACCAGGCTGACCTGGAACTCTCAGAGATCCTCCTGTCACTTCCTCCTGAGTACTGGTATTAAAGGCATCTGCACCACCATGCCCGGCTAAGATAAATTTTAACTTAGTGTGAGTAAGGAATGTTTTTATAGAGAGGTAAATTTAAACTGAGCAGAGTCTGGAAAAGGATATTAGGAAAGACAGAGGAGATTTGGTGGACTTATCAGAACTGAGAAGAGGACAAACTCAATTTTCAGAGCATTGTAAATAAAGCAAATTTTTGAGCAAGGAAAAACCGAGGTAAAGCTGAAAGGTAGGTCAGGCCAGGTGTGCAGAACTTTGAAACTTTTTGGGGTTTGGAACTCAGTTTACTCTGATGAGCATCTTTGTTGGAAAAGAGGTGATTTCAAATGATAGCCTTTTTAGGTCATTCTTTAAAAGATTTGTTATTCATATACATGTGTTTGTTTGTTTGTTTTTCTTTCAATAGCTAATCAAGTTGAAGAACCATTACATACCCATTTACCACAAACCCCAGAATCAAACTTTAGGGTAAGTTTTCAGTGTGTATGTAGATTGCTGTTAACTGTGGCAAGTGTCAAAGTTTTCTTTATGTCACTTTGAAAACTCTACTTGTATTAGACAGAGCACTGGTTTTTTTTTTTTTTAATTTATTATTTGGGTAAGGACATCTTTCAAGATATTTTAAGAAGCCTCAGTTCTTAGGGTCTTTATTTGCTTTTAATATTTAGTTCTGGAGCACATAAACTTCTAGGCATAGGGACTCTAATGTTTTAGCCATAGGGACTCTAATGTTTGTCCATAGAGTTCTTCATTTCCATTGAACTTTTCTTTGGGTGTTAAACCTGAAGAGGAAAAATTTTTTTTAAATGGAATATTTATTAATCCTTTATATTGTGTTTTAGGACTCCAGCTACCCATTTGCCAATAAAGAATCCATTGGTTCGGAACTGGGGAATTCCTTTGCACCAAATATTAGAATTAAAGAAGAACCTTTGGATGATGAGTATGACAAAGCAATGGCACCACAGCAGGGACTACTAGACAAAATTAAAGATGAACCTGAAAATGCTCAAGTAAACATTTCACCTTTTCCCTCTGCTATTTCTTTTTGTTCCACACATTGACTTACTCATTTGAGAAAGGAAGTGTTGAAGTGTAGTAGTTGATTGACAGGATGAAAAGTTTGTTAAAGGAGGTTGAAGCAATTTGAATTGTCTTAAAAAGGCATTAGCAAGGATTATGTGAAAATTTTCCCTCATGGTAATTGTGGCTTTTAATCTTCCATCTTTTAATACCGTTGTGGCTTTTTGTAGTACATTTCAGTGGAGAATTAGGAAACTGGTGAGTCTTAAAGGTGTTGAGATTGATAAGCAGATGTGAATGAAAAGTTAGCAGGAGGGTGGTTTATGGGTTGTGGTGTGGTTTAGTTCATAGAGAGTAATAAGTTTTTGCAGTTACTACTAATGAAGTACAGGTTAGGTATGGATTTAACTGTCTTTCAGGAGGGCCTAATGGACATAATTATCTTTGGAAGGGTTAATTGATTGAAGAACCAGTTTATTGGAAAGGAGGCTTTGGTGAGTGATTCATGATTCCAAGTTTGGATTTTTGAGTAGTAAGCGTAAAGGTACAGGTGTGCTATTTCAGGGTTGTTCTGCAGGTAAAAGCCAGGAATCCTGTAATACTGTAGATAGTTATTGTGCAAGTGGTGACATTGCAGTGGCTGGAGTGGAAGAAAGAAGTTATGTTACAGGATGTAGTCACTTTGAAATGTAGAAGGAGATCTAAACAATGAATATATAATAATAGCAGTTATTTGAAGATAGTCTGTTTTTTTCAGATGGCATAAATTCGTAGGGTGAAGAATAAAGTAATAGCAGTTAGCTTATCTAACCTGGAGGAAACATACCTTTTCTTTTATATTTAAGGAATTTATGGGGGGGTGAGTGAGACTAATATGGAAGATAATTTTTCATTTACGCTTCATTGATCAGAATTTCTCAGCCTCAGCACTGTTGACATTTGGGGCAAGATCATTCTTTTGTTATTAGGATCTGAGGGTCTGCCTTGTGTGTTGCTAGTTTGCAGAGTCCTCTACCTACTAGGTACCAATTGCATCCACCCCCACCCCAACCCGGCAGCCAGAAATGTCTTCAGACATTACCATATACTACATGCCTGGGGAGGAAAATCATGTGCTATTCAGAACTACCATTTCAAATTAAAGAGAGAGAATGACAGACTACCAAGTGTTAGATACAGAAGTGACTGGTGAGTTTGTAAAAGGAACTGATATATAATTACCCTTCAGAAATGAGGTTTATTGGGGGAGAGGGCACTATGATCACAAGAGCCATTGAGGTGGGAGACCATTTGAAGGGAACAATACAGTTTATCAGAAAAAGTCTTAACAGGGCCTGAAAGGAAAAACAGAGGCATCCTTTAAAACCCGGAGAGGAACTTCATTGCAAATAATTTTTTAATGTAAGACAGATAGCCATCATGATATGATGACAGGGAGAAGCCTAGAGAAGTAAACCTTTAGGGAACTTTCCCCTAACAAAGGGAAATCTCTGACTTCTACATTTTTTTCAGAGTGTTGGAAAATTTCACACCACATGATTTAGTTCACATGACAAAAAGCATGGAACCATAAATTAAAAGCTGTTAGGCTATAGCATGCTTCTTTGTCTTTTTGAGACAGGGTCTCCTTATAGCCCCAGCTGGCCTGGAACTCAATATGTAGACCACACTGGCTCACAGAGGTCTGTCTGCCTCTGCCTCCCAGCTGCTGGGACTAAAGGCATGCGCCACCACACTGGGGTTATACGTGCTTCTTAACTTTGACATAGAGAGGGAACTCAGGATGGCCTGCCCTGATTTCTTTTATAGGCTCTGGCCTCTTAGAGTGATCAGTGCCTTAAAGGAACAGACCTGTGACCTAACAGAGGTCGATGACACTTGGTTAAGTAAGAGTTTCATGCGAAGCAAAATGTAGGTAGATGTATTCAGGTAGTAATGGTAAAGCTCTAGGAACTGAATGGATATGAGGACAGTTGCTTCAAGAAAGACCTTAGAAGGAATGCAAAAATATGTTAATACATGATAGATTGAAAATTGTTTATAGAAACAGGTGAAATGGAAATCTTGGGTTATCTGAATTAGGGATAAATGTCCTAATGAATTCATGTAACTCTGTATTTCTGAGAAAATTACAACCATGTCTTTCTGCAGTGAAGTCTCTCTTCCTGTGGCCCAGAGTGGACATGGGAAAGTCCTAACAAATTACAGTGCTGGGAGAGTACCAAAAGCGTCTCTTTCTTTTGTATAGGACCCATTGACCTTTTCTCAGGACCAAGGCACTTAAAGCAAAGACCAAATGCAGAGCGGGTGAGAAGGCATTGGGAAAGTTATTACTATTGCTTTTTAAAATATATATATATATATATATATTTTTTTTGTTATTGTATGTGTATGCTTGTATTGCCTGCATGTAGGTAAGTGCACCCATGTCGTGCAATGCCCGCAGAGGACAGAAGAGACTCTCGGATCCCCTGGAACTGGAGTTACGGACAGTTGTTAGCTGCCATGTGGGTGCTGGGATTCGAACCTGGGTCTTCTGCAAGAACAGTCAGTGTTCTTAACCATTGAGCTATCCAGCCCCACTATTGCTGTTTTAAACAGAGGTTTCAGTGGTTAGGGAATATTGGTAGGATGAAGTGGATACTATTACCTGTGGTTTGTACATATTCAAAATTACAAATATGTTGTGAAACCCTAAATATCAAATTTATAATGATTATGGAGAAGAACTTTTCCAGAGGTTCGCTACTTGATTGGACCCTTTGAGAGAAGTAGTAGTGTGGGTAGGTCCTCGGTATAAGATCCGTTAAGTCCTCATAGTAAAACAGTCCTAGCACATGAGTGGATAGAACTAGGTTTTCCCTGAGCAGCTCTTTCTGTTGTGAGTGACATCATCCTATAATCTGTAGAATCAAAACTATAGATACTGGTTCTTGCTTTCTTCCCATTCCTCCGCTTTCCTTCTGCTTCTTGACCACATTTTGCTCTCTCTTTACTTTCTTGTTTTCTGTATTCCTCCTCCATGGTCATTGCAAATCTGTAGTCCTTGCTTTTCAGTACTGCATAATGCTTTATTAATCTTACTCATTGTACATAGACTAGAAGAGGGAATTACATTGTATTATTTATTTGGTCTCACAAACAGTAAGTACCATTAACCTCATAATGTACTGATAGAATTTATGGTGTGGTCATCCTTTTCTTTTGATCATCACTTACTAGTAACTTCTCTGTGCTTAACTTTGTAGTTTTGCTTTCAGTACTTATTTCTTCTCCATTTTACAGTTCAAGTTGGTCTTAATTTCTTTACTATATCATCACCAAGATGCTGAAATGTCTAATATATATATATTTACTGCTAACTCATTTGTTCTTAGTCACTTTTTTAGTTATAAATTTCTGGCTTCACTTAAAAGTAGGTGTGTAAATATTTTTAGTCAGTATTACTTGGAAAATAAAGGATAACCACATAAAATAAAATAAAATAAAAAATTCTGGCTTCTCAGGCATCATCTTTTTGCTTCTTAAGTAGCGTAACACATTTAGTTTTTCAGTATCATTTCTTTATCCTAATCCCATTGCATGTTACTGTAGCATTTCCTCTAGTTTTAAAAAGCAGTTACAGATGTTTTTATATGTACTGTGTTTTTTCATCCTGTAACAACCAAATATGGTTCATACTAGAGGATATATCACCCTGTGTTTACATCAGGGAGCAAAATTTCATAGGTTAATTTAGTTTCTCAAGACCGTATAGCCAGGGAAGAGTTTGTTTAGGGTTTATAACCTAAGTCTAATTTTTGTTTGATTGCCTATCGTTCTGTAAGTAATTGTTGTTTACATTTTTAAAATGCCTAGACAGGGTTTTAACTAGAAACTTACAGAACCACAGACCTTGTTTTCTCTTTTCTTCTTTTCCATAGGATCTGAAAGTGAGAACCGGACTAATGTTAAAATCCTGGTTATTTTCTGTTCTTTTCACCATAATAAAGAAAGCCTAAATTGTTGCAATAGTGCTTTATAGAATCTTGGAAAGTAGAATGCAGTCATTCAAATGGTGGGACTTTGCTTTAGGTATATCAAGTTTATTTGGCCATAGACACTGTTTATAATTTTTAACATAATTGTCCTGGGATATTGATAATACCTTCCTTTGTGGCAAAGAAGGGAAAGGTAAAGGAGTTTTTGTACTAATCTCTGTGGTTTTTAGTTCTATTTGGGGTTAAGAAATCATTCTTTTAAAGCATGATTTACTAGTCATTGTGAGGGATACAAACAAACCAGGCTTTCTAACTTGAAGGCGTTATGGGCTTTTTATACAGAGTACTTCACAGTCTTCTCTACCCCCTCCCTCCCTTCCTTCCTTCCTAAAAGTAATAAATATTGACAGCTTAAATACTGTGTCTGGAGTTTGGAATTGCCATCATAGTGTGAGAGAACGGACTGGAGACCATTAATGTGAGCTAATGGGCACTGATTATTTCTAGAGTTTTCTGAGATTAAAAAAATGTTTTTTATTGGCGATTCCCTTTTAAATACTATATGCATAAGAATGTCAGGATAATTCAATACTTTAAATTTTTAATATGTTTGTTGCGCCAGCAGTGCACCTCCGAAGGTCTTTATTAGATGTCAAATGATATACCACCCAGTTCCTTATATACATTTCCTATTATAGTCTTCCTTGTCTCAAGGAAATACTTGTTTTAAATCAGTAACAGTCACTGAATTTGAAAGCGAAGTGATGGCAACTGTGTATAATTATTAAAAGAATACAGAATACAAAAAATTGTTGTCAACATTGTTACTTAACTCGTGTGTTGGACTCTTACTCTTGGCCCTAATGCATGTTTTAGTGTATTATAAGGGAAATTAGAAGTAATAGAAGGAAAAAAAAAAACCGAAACAACCCCCCCCCCAAAAAAAACATAAAAGTAATAGAAAGGAGAAATAAAATGACCACTAGTAGCAACGGTTGTTTATTAGAGAATTAATTGAAAATTTAGTGGAGTACATAGATGAGATAATAACTATATAAAAGATAATAGTATTTCTATTAATCAGTTTCCTACTTTCAGGATATAATGAAAAAGACACTATTTCCAGCATTAACTAAAAAGTGCTATTGTAAAATAACAATTTGAATGAACACTGAGATCATTTTTTTTTGTAAATGTATGACATATTAGGAATGTCAGCTATTCCTAAATTTAAGATACATATTTGATGTGATGTGATGAACATACCAGTGATTAACCTCTGGAGTTCCAAAGAGTAGTTGTACACAGATGCATGTATTAGGTATTTTCAAAAGTTTTTTCGAGAGGTTTAACCATTTTAAATGGTTAAACATCCTATAGTTTCATTAAGACAGTGTGATAGAAAATTATTCAGGCTGATAATGATACAGAATAGCTCGTCCTTTTTTTTTTTTTTTCCAAAATTTGCCGTTTTAATCAATAGAATTTTCTGTTTAAGAATAAGAAAAATGCCCAGTCTCAAATGCATCTAAGCCAGCATTGGCAAATTTATCAGTGGCTGACCAAATCCAGTTCACTGTGTGTCTATTTGTTCTTTTGACTGATACTCTTGTACATAGTTTTTTTTTCAGAACGTTGTCATGTTCATTTATTTGCATATGATCTATGGGTGCTTTTGCTCTACCAGGGCAGAGTTGTGTAGTTGTAACAGAGACCAGAGTTGAGTAGTTGTGATACTATATAGCTTTCAAATCCAGAAATATTTACTGTTTGACCCTTTGCAGTTAAAATTTGCTGATCCCTGGTTTAAAGGACTCTATCATAAACAGTGAAACCACTTTCTTATTAGTGTATTATAGAAATAAAACTTTGTAAGAGATAGAAAAAAACACAAAGGTAAAGATTCTCAGAATTGTGGCATAAAAATGGGACCTTAGTACAGGAAAAATTTAACTCAAATGCTGAATGCTGGGTGTGGTGGTACAGGCCTTTGATCCCAGCACTTGCGAGACAGAGGCAGGCGGATCTTTGTGAGTTCTGGTCTACATAGTGAGTTCCAGGACAGCTGGTGCTACACAGAAACCCTGTCTCAAAAAGACCAAAAAAAAAAAAAAAAAGAAAGAAAGAAAAAAAAGAAATGTTGATAAGAAATGCTACAGAAGTTAATATTGTTGAATCATAATGAACTTGTAAATGAACATAAAAAATATCTGCAAATTAAAACAAAGTGGAGGGGGCTAGATAGATGGTTCAGTGGTTAAGAACACTGGCTGTTCTTGCAGAAGACCCGGGTTCAAATCCCAGCACCCACATGGTTGCTAGCAACTGTCTGGAACTGTCCAGGGGATCCGACAGCCTTTTCTGTCCTCCTCGGGCATTGCACAACACAAGTTTGCTTACCTACATGCAGACAATACACACATACACATAAAAATAATAAAATAATAATAAAAAAAGTGGAAAAAGACTTTGAAGCCAGGCATGGTGGCACACACTTTTGATCCCAGCACTTGGGAGCCAGAGGCAGGCAAATTTCTGTAATATCCAGGCCAGCCTAGTTTACATAGCAAATTCTAGGATTAAAGTGTGAGTATACACAGATATATTTATGGCATTATTGATCGTAGTAAATATATGAAAATACTAAATAAACCAGTATTGTTACAGTTAGATAAGTCAGTGCCATGCAGGCCATACTAGAGCTGGAGGGAAAAAGAGGAAAAATATTACTGATCTCACCTTTATTTAAAGTTGTAGTATTATGTTAATCATGAATTTTTGCATAAATTTTCACTTTTAACTTACTGCATTACCTAGTCATGGGGCCGGGCATGGTGTCACATGCCTTTAATCCCAGCACTCGGAAGGCAGAGGCAGGTGGATCTCTGAGTTCAAGGCCAGCCTGGTCTACATAGTGAATTCCAGGACAGCTGGGGCTACAGGGAGACCCTGTCTCAAAAAGACCAAAAATAAAATAAAATAAACAAAAGAAAAATACTATATTAAAATATTATTGTGATTACAGAGTGTCTGGTCACTCTTATTTTTGTTCCTGAGTCAAGGGCACTTAGGTCAGCTTCATCTGTTTAATCTGATATGTCAGTGTGTATAAATAACACATACTGATATTTCTTAAGCTTATGTAGTATTGATATCCCCTACCACAAAAAGTAGTATCATCTGAGATACCTCAAATTCTAAGAATAAAGAGGTTTTGTAGTATTTTGCCACCTTTATTGTGACAAGCATCTTAAAATTTAACAGCAGCAACAGCTGTTACTTAATACTAATACTTAATACTATTGAACAGTGTATTTATAAAAGTAAACAGCAGCTCTGAAAAATCGACATTAAAATTCTACCATGTGATGGTTATTCATGATTTAAAATTTTTACTTGTACTTAAAAATCATTTAAATAACACAGCTTTAAAAATAGTCTTCTTAGTCAGGTGGATCTCTGTGCGTTCCAGGACAGCTTAAACTACATAGTGAGTTCCAGGACACCTGGGGCTACAGGGAGACCCTGTCTCAAAAAGTCAACAACAACAACAAAAAGTCTTAAAATTCTCACACTATTCTAGACCTTCGTGATTCTTAGACTCAAATCTTAGAAATGCTGGTATTTGGTCATTAGACAGTTTTTTTGATATGCAAGAATACATAAAGGCTCTAATAATTCAAAGGAGCAGCACATGAATTCATAAGAGAAATTTGTTTAAAGAGTTTGTGTAAAGAAACAAACCCTTCCATTGACTAGAAAAGGGGAAAAGACTGGAAAGAAATATACCAGAGGAATAACGGTGGTTCTTTTGGGGTGATGAGTATGCCAAATTTTTTTTTCTTATTTCTACTTACCTAAATTTTTTATTATGACTGTGTATTACTTTTATAATGAACAGCAGCTTAAAATAATGTGGGATTAAAGGATAATTTTTTTGGAATAATTTCAAAATATCTGGTAGGGGCTCATGCTGTTTAGGTAGCTAACATTTTTTTTCCCTCTTTCAGCTTAAACAAGTATACTGTGTGTTTGCTGTTAACTAATTTGTTTACTGTTTTGTATTATTTTATTTCTTACTAATGTTAATGTAAACATTTTCCACCTCTATACAGCAGTAGTAAAATGCCTTGATTTCTTTAGGAATTTATTATTTTCTCTGTATTTATTTATTTCTTTTCCTTTTTAAAGGAGTATAGTCATGGCCAACCTCAAAAAGCTCAAGAGGGGGAACTGAAAATTAGTGCTGTGTTTTCAGTCAGTGGCAGTCCTCTTGGTAAGAATCAGAACCGAATTAATGAATTGTATTTATTCTGACCAACATGAATGAGAGGCAGTTTCTACTTGTATTAATACACTAGGCAGTTTTCTTTTTTCATTTACAATGCCTTTACATTGTACATTGCATCATTTCATTGGGCTTCCGACTAGTTCTAGAAGAAAAAGAACCAGTACTTAAAATGTATGGTAAAAAGTAAAAAAATTTTTTCTTCTTCTTTCTTTTTTAAAGCTCCACAGTTGACTACTGGCTTTCAGCCTTCACTGGCATCATCTGGCATGAATAAAATGCTCCCTTCAGTTCCAGCCACAGCTGTTCGAGTTTCCTGTTCTGGTTGTAAAAAAATCCTCCAGAAGGGACAGACTGCTTATCAGAGGAAAGGGTCTACTCAGCTTTTCTGCTCCACACTGTGCCTCACTGGATACACAGTTCCACCTGCCCGCCCACCACCTCCTCTCACCAAGAAAACTTGTTCAAGTTGCTCAAAGTATAGCAGAATTCTAAATTGTCTTTTTTCTCTTATACTTTGCTTTTAATCTGCCTATATTATATTTGTTTCTACATTTCTGTGGCTTTATTTTTTTCTTCCCATAAATAACATGTTTAGTGTCACTATGTTGTTGCTACTTTTAGTCTTTGTTGGGTGGTAGGTGCTTTGGTTCTCCTGTAGCTTTAAGTAATGTTTCTTTCATAAATTAACAAGTGATTTTGAAATTGACCCTTTGATCTTTTTTATATAAGATTCCGTATATAACAAAGAGTATACATTTGAGGTAGTTTAGTATCACAGCATTTTTATCATGTAAAGATCTTAACCTGAACAAATATTTAAAGTTTTGTTTCTTGTCTATATATAATTGAAATTTAATGTTCTGATTTTTTAATGACTTCTAATATTTTCTCAGTATCTGACTGCTTCAGAAGGTCTATTGCAATGTTAACAAAAAAAAGGAGTATGGGGCTAGGCGTGGTGGTGCATGCCTTTAATCCCAGCACTTGGGAGGCAGAGGCAGGAGGATCTCTGTGAGTTCAGGCCAGCCTGGTCTACATAGTGAGTTCCAGGGCAGCTGGGGCTACAGGGAAACCCTGTCTCAAAAAGACCAAAAAAAAAAAAAAAAAAAAAAAAAAAGGAGTATGAACCATGCCTTTTAAGATCATCTTGATGTATTTGAGGAATATTAAGGTCATCTTGATATATTTTGTAAGGTGATTGTCAGTTACTGTTCCATAAGTAAGTCAGAAAAAGAGGAATAATGCTTTGTTGTTTTGAAACATTTGGTTTCTCTATTTAAACGGATTTATTACTAATCTCTTAGTGTTTATACTTCTTCATATGATTCCACCCTTTCTTTTTCAGGAAAGGGAAAAGATGTTCTATCTTCTGATTCGGTTAGACCACAGAATTAACAGAAATTTGAATATGTGTAGATGCTTTTCTAGAAGTTAGTTGTGTACACATCTCTTTGCATTTCATTTCTTTGGAACAAGTGACAGTGCATTTTAGTTATATTCCAATAGTAGTAGCATAGCAGTTTAAATATATATGGTGCTTCATTTATCTAAGTGTAGATTGATCTTTAGTTTGCTTTGGAAGGTCTGTTTTCTTTGTAACATTGCAATTATTTAAAGTAACAACATACACTGCAGTTTTTTGTTTGGGATTCTCTTTTAAAGTTATACAGATTGAGCATCTCTAATACAAAAATTAAATCCAGAGTTCAAAACTTTTGGGGTGGAGAGATGGCTCAGCTGTTAAGAGCAATGAGTGCTCTTTCAGCAGTGGGTTCAATTTTCAGCACCCACATGGCAGCTAACAGTCTTCTGTAACTCCAGTTCTGGGTGATCCAGTGCCCTCTTCCATGGGCATTGCATGACATGGGTGCACTTAGAAACATGCAGGCAATACACTCATACACATAAAAATAATAAAATATTTTTTTGCTGGATGTGGTAGCATACGCCTTTTAATCCCAGCACTTGGGAGGCAGAGGTGGGCGGATCTCTGAATTTGAGTCCAGCCTGGTCTAAGTAGCAAGTTCCAGGCCAGCTGGGGCTACCAGGAGACCCTGTCTCAAAAAGATTTAAAAAAATTTGCTATGTAGACCAGGCTAGCCTTAAACTCACAGAGATTTGCCTACCTCTGCCTCCCAAGTGCTGGGACTACAGGTTTGCGCTGCCATGCCTGGCTAAAACAATATTTATATTTTGGATTTTTGAGCATCACAGAGAAGAGATGCTTGGTCAGTAAAGGCTATGCAAATATTCCAAAACCTTAAAAAATTTGAAATTTGAAGCATTTATGATCCTAAGCATTTCAGAAAAGATATATTAAATCTGGAGTGCTTTTAATTTTTTGTCATTTTGAGATGGGGGTCTTGCTGCAGTCCCAGCTTCCCTGGAACTGACTGTGTAGACCAGGCTGCCTTCAGTCCCACAGAGACTAATCTCTTGAGTGTTGAGATTAAATGTGTGCACCACCACGCCTGGCCTGGAGTGCATTCTTTCATATAGCTTCAGTGGTATTAAATTGTTATCTATTGAATGTCTGTTTAATGTGTATGTGTGGGTGCAAGTCATCTAGATTGCAGTACATTGATTAAAAGGTAGAATAGGAACTTTCATGAAATTTTGTTCAAAAGTTAAATTTGACTCAATAAAATACTGAGATTTTATAATTTGAAGAATAAATTCAGTCTATTATAAAACATTATTATTGTTCTCAGTATATTTAAAAAATTCTGAGATCATGTAAAGTTTTCTTAAAAATGGTAACTGAGTATATTAATTAAAATTAGCTATTTTGCCATACAGATTTACTATATATTATATATAAATGCATAATATCTATCAGTGGAAATAAAAATAACATAGAGGTAGGTACTTTGTTTTGTCTGCTACTATATAACCAGCATATTAGATACTTAATATTGGTGAATGAATTATTTAATAATGACCCTACATTTGGAGAAAAAGCTATTACTATTATTTTATAGTTATACATAACTATTAAATGATTTCCCACATACTGTTTTTAGCAACATAAATTTATCCAAAAATGCTTATTTCTACTATTTTGATTATAGCATATGGTTATAAATATGAATACTTGAGGGCTGGAGAGATAGTGCAGTGGGTAAGAACATTGGCTGTTCTTGCAGAAGACCTGGGCTTGAATCCCAGCACCCACATGGCAGCTAACAACTGTCCGTAACTCCAGTTCCAGGGGATCTGATAGTCTCTTCTGTCCTCCACGGGCATTGCATGACACGGGTGTACTTACCTTCATGCAGGCAGTACACAACACACATAAAATAAAAATAATAAATAAGGGGCTGAAGAGATGGCTTGGTGGTTAAGAACACTGGTTGTTCTTGCAGAAGACCGGGATTCAAATCCCAGCACCCAAATGGCAGCTAACAACTGTCTGTAACTCCAGTCCCAGGGGATCCGACAGCCTCTTCTGACCTCCACTGCCATTGCACGACATGGGTGCATTTACCTACGTTCAGGCAATACACGAATACACGTGAAATAAAAGTAATAAAATAAAAATAATATAAAATATTAAAGAAAAAATGAATGCTCAGTTTTGCTATGTCTTCTAATTTTTATATGCTGGTATGTACATTATCAGATTCTATGATTCTGTCAGACTGAAAATTAACAATTTTTGTAGGTTTTTTTCTTGGCTGTTTTGTGACGAAATAATTTGATGTAATTCATTTATTCATCTTTACTTATTTTAACCTAAAGTTTCTAAAATGTCAGTGATACTTCTCCTTTCATGAGCACCACATACACTTAAAAAGTTATCGTTTACTTATAAAAGGACCATTAAAAAATTCACATAAGCTTAGGAATATGTGTCCTATATATACACACACACACACTTAAAAATTTAATTTTTTTGTGTGTATGAATGTCTTGCCTACATGTATGTAAGTTTGTAAGTGCATCATATGTGCACCGCCTGCAGAGGCAGAAGAGGGTGTCAGATTACCTGAAATTGGAGTTAAGGACAGTTGTTAGCTTCGTGTGGGTGCTGGGAACTGAACTTGGGTACTCTGCAATAACAGCAAGTGCTTTTAGCTGCTGAGCCATCTGTCCAGTCCATATGTATATTTTTTTTCTCAGGGGTGTTTGAGACAGGATTTCCCTGTAGTGGGGCTGGACCAGGCTGTCCTTGAACTCACAGAGAAAAGCCTGCCTCTGCCTCCCTGGTGCTGGGATTAAAGACATTTGCTACCATGCCCATCCAACTCATATATATATATATATATATTACTGAGTTTTCTCCCCTCCTGACAAAACTGACTATTCGGTTTCAAAAAATTAAAGGGCAAATATATTGCCCAAACTAAATGTTGCTCAAATGTTAAAACATTAAAAACACAAGCAAAATATTTCCTCCCTTACAATTTCTAAATATTGACTTATCTGGTGTCCCAAGAATTTTATATTTAAAAAAGAGAGAAAAATGCCAAAATTGACACTTAACACTTTAAAGCTAACATACTTTGAACCACAGATTGCATTTGAGAAAAGGAAATAGGAAGCAAGTATAAGGAAATACATTGTTCTGCCACGAAACAGGGATCACTCGTTATTCTCATGAAGTTGTTGCTCCCATGGTGTTCTGCTACACTGATACTGTAATCTTAACTAGCCAGGACTTATAAGACAAAATTTCAAGAGTTGATAAGTTTTTGTTTTGTCATAAAGCCTGGCATGGCACAAAATTCCAGCAATAGGAGGTAGAGATTAGGAGTTCAGGGTTATTCTCATCTAATAAGAGGTCAGCCTGGGCTATATGAAACACTGTCTCAAAAAAACCAAGACAAACAAGTATATTACAGGGCTGGGTGTAAGTTCTTACCATTTGCTTTATTCAGCTCCACAAGGGTTCCTATATGTACAGGTAAATAATTTGCATGGAAAGGATCTTTTTCCATTACTCTGAAAGTGAAAGAAAGACATTACGACCTAGAAGCCCTTCATGAGATCAGTCCTCATGACTAAGTTATACTTAGTCAATAAGCATCATACATGATGCTATAACCTATGCTACTTTATTTTTGATTAAAGCAACGATTAGGTTATGAAGGAAAAGGAAGGTAGGCCTCATGGTACGGGTCACATTACCAGCTACCCAAGGGGCTGAGGCTGAAGAATCACAAGTTCAGTGTCAGTCTTGGCAACTTAGGAGGCTCTGTCTCAAAATAAAAAGGCTGGGGATGTAGTTCAGTGGCAGAACGTGTACCTAGAATGTATAGGCTCTAGGTTCAATCTCTCACTATCACAGAATAAACAGAAAATTGTTTATTTAGAAGGAATAAAAAGAAGCATTAGCACCTTCATTTTTAAATTGTTAGTTAAATATGATGATCACTTTTAATTTTTTTTGGTCTTTTTGAGACAAGGTCTCCCTGTAGCCCCAGCTGTCCTGGAACTTACTATGTAGACCAGGCTGGCCTTGAACTCATAGAGATCCTCCTGCCTCTGCCTCCCGAGTGCTGGGATTAAAAGCATGCGCCACCACACCCGGCTCACCCAACTCCTATATTTTTAATATATGTTGTGGGGAGGGATTCATATGCTTGTATATGCATGTGTGCGGGTGTGTATATATATGCACACAACATGCGTAAAGGCCAGAGGACAGCCCCTTGTGTCATCCTCAGGAAGGTTGTCCACGTCGTTCTTTGAGTTAGTATAGATCTCTCACCAGTTAGTCTAAACTACATGGTCACCCAACTCCTATATTTTTAATATATGTTGTGGGGAGGGATTCATATGCTTGTATATGCATGTGTGCGGGTGTGTATATATATGCACACAACATGCGTAAAGGCCAGAGGACAGCCCCTTGTGTCATCCTCAGGAAGGTTGTCCACGTCGTTCTTTGAGTTAGTATAGATCTCTCACCAGTTAGTCTAAACTACATGGTCTTAGAGCCCCGGGGTCTTCCTAACTCTGAGATTTCAGGTGCTAAGCACCACACTCAGCTTTTTACATGGACTTTGATCCTTGAAGTCAGGTCCTCATTCTTTCTAGACAAGCACTTTAGTAATTGTACTCCCCTCCTCCCTGCCCTTTACTTATGGTCTAACTCTGTCCTTGTTGCTTGCTATAGCTTTATTTGGAGACAGATCATTTTACCTACATGTGGTTTTCTCTAGATCTTGATCATAATTCAGTTCTTTAAAAGACTCTTTGAAAGCTGTTTGGTTTTATCTTTTATTTAACAAAATTTCCATTTTTAGCCCATGATTATTACTCTACTATTTATACAGCTACATTCATTTATTTCACCCTTCATACCCTTTGCTCTCTCCGTTCCCCTTTTATGTTCTTATAGTACTTATTACCTGCTTTCCTTGCAGCTTTTCTTTCTCTTTCGCTCTATACTGTTTTTCCTTTTTCACATTTTTTCATTATACTTTTCTCTTGTTTTTGTCCTTTCTCACTAACCTTCCTTTGTACTCCACTTTACTGTCTGATCTATTCTTCATTTCCTTGACTTCTCCTGCCCTTTCTCTGTTACACAGACCTTACCACAGTTTTGTACATTGTGGCTTACATGATTACAAAAGTGCTGAATTAGATGTAACTTAAATAAAAGCAAATTAAATTCAGAGGAGCTAAATAATTCATTAATTGTCAATTTTGGTATATGCACTGTTAACCTGCATAGTCCATGTGATCAGGCAAGTTTTATTTGTGAATCAGTTCCCATAGGAAGAATTTCAGTTTAGCTTTTGCAGATACAGAAAAGACATTTTGTCTTTGAAAGCTGCTATTTTTGTAGATCAATAGAAATACAGTAGTAGCATTTAATTTAGGAATTTGTTAGCTACTCAGATTAACAGTTCTGTTTTCCTTAAATTTGATAACTATTTCAGCCCCTTTAAATCTACACTCTGAATATATTTTTATTAATCATTTAACTTACAAGTTTTTTTAATACAAGAATTCTAATTTTAAAGCTTGATTTCAAATCCTATAAAATAGGTAATTTGGAGGATAATTTTGTTAGTATTCTAGCAGCACCCACCTAAAAGCTGAATGGTTAGCAAACATCTGTAACCCAGTTCTGGGGGGAAAGGTGGAATGAGGAGGCCAGGCTTGCAGCAGCCAGTCTTGCCAATCAGGAAGCCTTCAGTTCAATGAGATTTTGTCAGAACATAAGGTTGGAACATACTCAGCTTTGACATATGGCCTCCATGCGTTTATGTACCACAGATATACACCTCTTGCAGAGAAATTTAAGTTGTAATGTCCTTTATTTTTCTGATAATTATTTGGTTGTTTTAACACAAAAGGGGGAAAATGTAATGTACTGTGTTTCTTATTTTATCTTTGTTACCATTTTTAGAGACATTTTAAATCCAAAGGATGTGATCAGTGCCCAGTTTGAAAATACCACCACCAGTAAAGATTTTTGCAGTCAGTCATGTTTGTCAACCTATGAACTGAAAAAAAAACCTATTGTTACCATAAATACAAATAGCATTTCGACCAAATGCAGCATGTGTCAGAAGAATGCTGTTGTAAGTTTAATTTTTTACTCTGTTGAGGAGAATGAAACTAATGTTTGTGTTTAGAGACATTGTTTGATTCTCTGTTCTTACTGTTTTTATGTTACTTTTTAATTCTTAGATTCGACATGAAGTTAATTACCAGAATGTGGTCCATAAACTTTGCAGTGATGCCTGCTTCTCTAAGTTTCGCTCTGCTAACAACCTCACTATGAACTGTTGTGAGAACTGTGGAGGTTACTGTTACAGTGGCTCTGGTCAGTGCCACATGCTTCAGATTGAGGGACAGTCAAAGAAGTTTTGTAGCTCAATGTGTGTCACTTCATATAAGCAGGTACTTGACCATATTTAATCCTTATATCTTCGTTAATTTCAGGAGAATACAAACCTTTGCATGAAAATTATTCTTAAAATGATTTTTTGAAATACTAAGAGATTAACATTTAGTTAACTTTTGGGATATAGAGGTTAGTATTTGGTTAAATTAATAGGTGTAAATAGCATTTCTGAAATGAGTCTATATTAAATGTTCTGAGATAGAGCCCTCTAAAAACCAGTTTTTGTACATGCATTAAGAAATACATATTTTTAGGGCTTAGCTTCTTGTTTGCTTGGGTTTGTTTTGTTTTTTTTGAGACAGGGTCTTCCTGTAGCCCCAGCTGTCCCAGAACTCACTATGTAGACCAGGCTGGCCTTGAACTCACAGAGATCCGCCTGTCTCTGCCTCCCAAACTTGTTTGTTTTTTAAGATAGGGTCTTACTATATAGTCATGTCTGCCTATAATTTGTTAATGGCACAGGTTGATCTTGAACTTGTAGTTTTCCTGCCTGCACTTCCCAAGTGCTAGAATGATCTGCGTGAACTGTCATTACTGGCTTTTTTATGACCTTATTTCAAATTTGATTTTTTTTTGAAAAATAATTTTTAGATGCCAAGAGCATAAACAAATGTTTACATCTCTTATGAATAAGCAGTCTTTACCTTTTTGTATGTAACCTTTTTGTCTGTGAAATACATTTTGATTTGTGTGTTTTCTTGTTCCTTTGAGTTATTACTGTTGTTTTGAGTCAGGGTCTTCCTGTAGCAAACTTGTCATGCTGGCCTTGATTTCAGAGATCTGACTACCTCTGCCTACCTAGTTCCGGAACTAAGGGTGTATGCTTGTTCTTTAACAAAGAAGGTTTAAATTGCATGTCTTTTTTTCTTGCAAAGGGAGCCATATAGTTAGAATTGTAAATACAAAAATAAAAATTTTATTAGAATGGAGGGTTTTTTTTTTCTTCATGAAATAGAAGAAAAATGAGTCAATTTTGTGAATTATGAAGTTTGCAGAGGTGAAATCAGAAGAATTCTGTATAACAAGAAACTTTTATTGTGTTTTGTGAGTATTGAATTCATATTTCACCAGTAAATTTTGATTGTTTCATAATTGGTAATCCTAAAGAGGTAGTAAATATTTTTCACATTTAAAATGTTACAGTGCCTCCCTGCTTTTGGACATTTGCTGATTATTCTTACTAATAGTACCAGGCATGGTAGCACATGCTTTTATTTCCAGCACTTGGGTGGCACAAGCAGGTGGATCTCTGAGTTCAAGGTCAACCTGGCCTACGTATTGAGTTCTTAGGACTGACTACACAGTGAGACCCTGTCTCAGAAAAAAAAAAAAAAAAACTGAGTTTTTATGTAGTCTACCAAAATCAATGAATAATATCAGTTAGGAAATTTCATAGTGTTGAAACTTTGGAACTAAGGAGATGGCTCAGTGGTGAAGAGCACTGGCTGCTTTAACTGTCTTTAACTCCAGTTCCAGGGGATTCGAGGGCCTCTTCTCGCCTCTTCAGACACTGCATGCACCAGTGTACTTACACATATGCAGCAAAATACTCATTCACAGAAAATAAAAAAATATGTTAAAAAACCTTTGAATTAATTTTTATATTTTAAACATAGTAGACAATTTTCACTTTATATTTTATTACTGTGTAATAACTTTAAAAGGACTCAGCTTTGTTGGATATTTCTTGTTTTTCTCTCACAAAGGAAAAAACCCTCATATCTTCATGCCTTTGTTTGAAAGACTGAAGTGTGCAATAAAAATTGAGTCATATTTCATAAAAGAAGAGAAATAGAAACGTTAATTTTAATTTTTTTACTTTTTAAAAAAATGTTAGTATTTTTATTTTATGTTTATGAATGTAATGCCTGCATGAGGTAGGAGCATCCTTGTCATGTAATGCCTGCAGAGATCAGATGAGGGCATTGGATCCCTGGAACTTGAGTTATAAATGGTTGTCAGCCACCATGTGAGTGCTGGGAGTCAAACCCAGCTATGCTCTTAACTGCTGAGCCAATTTCTTTTTTTCTTTACTTTTAATTTGGATAATACCTGTTAAGTTTCTCCTGTACTAAAATGTGTACTGTGTTAGGGACAAGAATTGAATGTAATAGTAAAGCTGATCCAGATTTAATTCCCAAACTTTGTTCATGTACAATTTTACCTTGGAAAAAAGACTTAAATTTCATGATTCTGGTTTTCTTACTAGCATAATTGTAATACCAGATTGTTTTTAGGATTATACAAAATAAGAACACCCAGAACATTGTAGATGGCTATTGCTGCCAATTTTCTTTCTTCATTGTCTTTTTGAGACAAGGTCTCCCTGTAGCCCCAGCTGGCCTGGAACTCACAATGTAGACCAAGCTGGCCTCGAACTCATAAAGATCTGCCTGCCTCTGACTCCTGAGTGCTGGGATTAAAGTTAGGCATGTACCACCATGCCCAGCTTGTCTTAATGTATTTTTAAATAGAAAATAGTATACAGTTCCTATTTTGAGGGTAGGGCTGTCTTCTGACATGTAAGTTAATAAATAGAGGTGGTGTGATGGAAGTATTATTAGGTACAGTGTGACACAAAGCATAATCAGTCATCTGTACTTTGTGGGACTAGGTATATCAGCAGAAGTTTCACAAAGATAAACCTCTTTGACTCAAGTCTTTTCAATAAGTTTTTGTTTACAGTCCTGATCTGGGAGGAAAGACAAATGGAATTGGAGATTTCAATATCCCCAAATTCAGACATATTCTAACATGCATCTATTTTAATATCAAATTTCCCAAATTTATCACAGAAAGGGGAATAGATTTTAAAAATCTCTTAATTAAAAGGCCAGGCATGGTGGTGCAGGCCTTTAATTCCAGCATTTGAGAGGCAGAGCCAGTTGGATCTCTGTGAGTATGACACCAACGTGGTCTACATAATTGAGCTCCAGGGTAGCTCAGGCTTCATACTGTGATTGTGTTTCAAAACAACAGAAAACCCCCAAATAAAACTCTTTATTATAGCTTGAGCATTCTTTGTTATCCTAAATGTGTACCATGGTAATAGAATTTAGCATTATTTTCTTTTGAATCTCTTAATTTTCTATTAAATCTGACATGCTCTGTTAGACTCATTGATTATTATATTTGCATGCTTCTGATAGCCAAGATCTCCCATTGTACTGCTTACAGTATATGTTGTTAGTAGCAGAGCATTTGATAATGAATTGTCTACCATATTCACTACATTTCTTTAGTTCAAACTTTATGCTGTATATGGCATTTTTTAATAGGCAGTTTTTCAAGTTTTTAGGCTAATATAGTATAAAAGCATGAACCCTTTGTTATATTAATGCATAAAACAACATTTCTAAAATGTTGTTAGGGATGAGAATTGAATATAATAGTTAAGTTGATCCAGATCTAAAAGTATGCTTATAATCAAATAATAGATCCTAAATTAATTGCTAGGTTATAATGTAAGGCTATTTCTAATGATATAAAATAGAATGGAAAATATTAAAAGTGTATCATATATTACTATGCTATGTGTTGCTCTGTGAAGCTCTTTAGTTTTACATACATATATAACGTAATAAACACAAATTCAGACTCTTAGAAGAATGTGTGGAATCACTTTATAAAACTTACTGAAGATTGTAATCATGAAAGTTTGAAAAATGATTTAAAATATTTTATGAGTAAGGAAAAAAAGATATCATGTGGGGCCCCTAATTCCCAGCACCACACATTTAAAAATGATATTTCAGCAGAGTTAAATATAAACATTATCAAAGAATTATTTCAGAGAATTATGTTTTATGAATTTGGTAAAAATGAATGTTGTTTTATTCTGTTAATAGAAATCAGCCAAAATAACACCATGTGCGCTTTGCAAATCATTGAGATCCTCAGCAGAAATGATTGAAAATACCAATAGTTTGGGGAAGACAGAACTTTTCTGTTCTGTTAATTGCTTATCTGCTTACAGAGTAAAAATGGTTACTTCTGCAGGTAATACTGCTTTCATAAACTATAAAATGTAGTAGGTGAAAAATTATAGTTAATACTTTTTTGTTGGCACAGATTTTCATCTAAATTTAGTTGAATTTTAGGATAAAGTATTTCAGATATTTATTGTAAAATATACCTATTGCCTCATTTCTTTTCTTACTTATTATACATTCCACTCCTATTGAAAGGATTTCTACTTCCTTTATTGTATTTTCCTTTAAAAATATATATTATTATTTTTATTTTATGTGTATGTATTTTGCCTACATGTTTCTAAGTGCACCGTGTGTGTGCAATGCCTGCAAGAGGTGTCAGATCTCCTGAAACTGACATTGCAGATGGTTGTTAGCCACCATGAGGGTGCTGGGAATCCAACCTGGGTCCATTGGAAGAACATCAGGTGTTTTAAACCACTGCGCCATCTCTCCAGCCCTTAATATTTTCTTTATGCACACCTAATATATTTCAAGATCCTTTTATTTTTATAATTACCAGGTAGATTGTGGCTAATTAATTAAAAATCTTTTTTTAATTTTTTTTTTTTGTCTAGACGTGGCATGATTGAGTTACATTTCAGTTCCTATAACTTAATCTGAAAATTAAATTTTTGTTTATTATATGATATTTAATCCCACATAGATTTATATATGTATTACTCATTAGCTTTTATTTTGATTTGCTAAGGTGTACAAGTTCAGTGTAACAGTTGTAAAACCTCAGCAATCCCTCAGTATCATCTAGCCATGTCAGATGGAAGTATACGCAACTTCTGCAGCTACAGTTGTGTGGTAGCTTTTCAGGTATGGCATCGGGAGTCTTCCTCTTCTTCAGGTAGTAAACTATAGCAATGTAAACTTACTGTTTCCTAGTGCCTTGATTGTTTCTATTCTAGCCTTTTTAGGTTAGGTTATTAGTTCGGCCTGTCATTTAACTATAGCCTATAAAATTAGGTGATACTATTATACCTCACATTACCAGGTAGGAAAATATTTGTTTTTGGAGATTTTCAAATATCTTTTTTTATGCATAAATGAGACCTGCCCCACATTCAGTTATAAGCTGTTCAAAGGAAGGAATTTAGCTTGCCACATACCTAAAACTGTGCTGGGCATACATAGGTGCATAATTCTTATTTTTTTGAACAAGTAGTTAATTGACCTATTGTTTTTTTTGTTTTGTTTAATTCAGAATTTGTTTAACAAACCAACTGGAATGAATTCTTCAGTTGTGCCCTTGTCTCAGGGCCAAGTAATTGTGAGCATCCCCACTGGTTCAACAGTGTCATCAGGTGGAGGGAATTCCTCTGCTGTCTCTCCCACCTCCATCAGCAGCTCTGCTGCTGCTGGTCTCCAGCGTCTTGCTGCCCAGTCCCAGCATGTTGGGTTTGCACGAAGTGTTGTGAAACTCAGGTGTCAACACTGTAACCGTCTTTTTGCGACAAAACCAGAACTTCTTGACTATAAGGTAAAATGGAGGGTCATTGCTGGTATGGTAGTATGGTAGTGCATACCTATAATATTAGCATGTAGGAAATGGAGGTGGAAGGATTGAGAATTACAGGTTGCTAAGGTTGTAGTCATTTTTTCACTGGCCCAGTGAGGCTGGGGGACAGGAGCAGCCCCGAGGGGCTCTGGCTTCTGGCGCAACCAGCTCCGGGGACAATGTCAGGTGGGGAGTTTGATTGGGGTGGTGCACCTGTCAAACGGTAACACAGGTGTCCTAAGGCGAGATCAGGGAGGACAGAAACCTCCTGTGGAGCAGAAGGGCAAAAGCTCGCTTGATCTTGATTTTCAGTACGAATACAGACCGTGAAAGCAAAAAGTGGGGCTTCATGATCCTTCTGACCTTGGAGTTTTAAGCAGGAGGCCCCCACTGAGAAAGGGCGTCCTTCCATACAGTGCCGAGCCCCTTAGAGCTATCCAGACATGGAGGACTACAACCTTAGCAGCAGGGTCCCCCAACAGTAAGGGTTAAATGTCTATTTATAAATGCATTTTTAGCTTTCCATCTCTGAAAATTTTGCTGTTACTAAAGTAAGAAAGATGAGGATTTCCATAATGTAATCCAAATGTCTAATTACTTAATCTTTCTTTACAGGGTAAAATGTTTCAGTTCTGTGGCAAGAATTGTTCTGATGAATATAAGAAAATAAATAATGTAATGGCAATGTGTGAATATTGTAAAATTGAGAAAATTGTAAAGGAGACTGTACGATTCTCAGGTGCTGACAAGTCATTTTGTAGTGAAGGTAAAAAGACAGAAGATAATTTTACCTACTGAGTGTGGAGGTTATTTCAAAAAGTGGTTGTTGGTTTAAGGTGTTACTGTAAAAATTTATTTTATCCTTGGTACATATCCACGGTCTTTTAAAAATTTTTTAAAATATTTTATTATTTTTTGTGTATGCGTGTATTACCTGCATGTAGGTAAGTGCACCCATGTCATGCAATGCCCGCGGAGGACAGAAGAGGCTGTCAGATCCCCTGGAACTGGAGTTACAGACAGTTGTTAGCCACCATATGGTGCTGGGATTTGAACCCCGGTCTTCTGCAAGAACAGTCAGTGTTCTTAATGGCTGAGCTATCTCTCCAGCCCCATCCACAAAGTCTTTTAGTTTACTGACATTTAATTTGCTTTTTAGATCTAGTTCTCAATTTTACCTTAATGTTAAAGTGAAGTGAAAGATCCTTACAGGGCAATGCAAAACATGGTGATATGGAATACATTTTGCATCTTCATCTTGATGGAGAACTTTAAAGATCTCTTGGTCCTGTTTTCATTTGAGACAGGGTCTCCCTGTAGTCCCAGCTGACCTGAACTGGCCTTGGCTGAACTGACCAGGCTGGCCTTGAACTCAGAGATTCGCCTGCCTCTGTTGGTGGGATTAGTTAGTGCTGAGACTAACGAATATGTGTACCACCATGCCTGGCTGTAATTCTTTTCTTTATTTAGATGGTATTTTGTTTAGGATGTTTTGTTTGTCTCTATAACTACATAATCCTTCTATGCCATTGATTTTTCAAATCTTTTGACCACAACACTAATGAATTACATTTTCTATTGTGACCTACTATGAACCTAGTACATTTTCACATTCCAAATAAAACTTAAGTTTTAGGAGCTGGTTGTGGTGGTGCAGGAGGATATCTGTGAGATTGAGGCCAGCCTGGTCTACACTGGGAGTTCTAGGAAGCTGAGGCTGCTGGGAGACTGTCTCAAAAAAACAAAAACAAAAAACAAGACAAAAAGTTTCATTAATAAAACTTACTATACATGACACATTATAATATTTTCTATCTTGTTCTGTCTTGTTTCATTGAACACATAAACAGGACTAATTCGATCCTCTAAATTGATTTCTTGGCCTTTTACTACTTGGTTATGTCCCAAGTGTGAAAACTTAGTGCTGGACCAGATAAATAAAAAATGTAGGTAGATGGTCATGGTGGCACACACTTTTAATTCTAGCACTTGGGAGGCAGAGGCAGGTGTATTTCTGAGATTGAGGCCATGATGGTCTACATAGAATTTCAGGCCAGCTGGGCCCACAGGAAGACCCTGTCCCAAAAAAACAAAACAAAAAATGTAGGTAATTTATTATTTTTCCCATTGCTAATTTTTATCTTTCCTGATTTTTCTTAGGTTGCAAATTGCTTTATAAACATGACCTGGGAAAACGCTGGGGAAGTCACTGTAAAATGTGCAGTTATTGTTTACAAACATCTCCCAAATTGATACAGAATAATTTGGGTGGAAAGGTGGAAGACTTCTGTTGTGAAGAATGCATGTCTAAATACACAGTTTTGTTTTATCAGGTAATATTTGTTCCTATTCCTGGGTTTAGGGAGTTTTGTTTTGTTTTTTTAATTTCATGTACAGTGAAGGATAACTTAATGATTAAAAAATTTAGACGTTTTCTTTCTTAGAAATTAATAAAACATTTAGGTAGACCTCATTCTTGTTCAAGTTTTATTCCTTTTAGTTTTAACTTCTAAAAAATATACTAATCTGACTTATTCCATTATAATATATTTTGATTATTTTATCATTTAAATAAATGAATTTGTCTTCTGAGTTCTGAAGAGAAGCCTCGTTTAAATTTCTTTAAAACTTTGTGCTAATATGGGTGTGTAAGCATGTGTACATAGATGCATGCATGCTAATGGTGTGTGTGCATATGTGGAAATCAGAGGACAACTTTATGGGAGTTGTTTCTCTTTTTTTAAAAAAATATTTTATTATTTTTATGTGTATGAGTATATTGCCTGCATGTATGTGAGTACACCCATGTCGTGCAGTGCTGCAAAGGTCAGAAGAGGGCTTCGGATTCCCCTGGGACTGGAGTTAAGGACGGTTCGTAGCCACCATGTGGGTGCTGGGAATCGAACCCAGGTCCTCCGCAAGAGCAGTTAGTGCTCTTAACTGCTGAGCCATCTCTCTTGCCCCATGACTTGGTTTTTAAAAAATGATTTTTAAAAATCATTGGTAGGGCCTGGAAAATGGGTCTGAGTAAAGCAATTGCTGTACAAATGTGGGCTCTGGAATTAGGATCCTCAGCAGCCACATAAAAGTCTGTTGGGTCTACTTGCACACCTGTAATTACAGTGCTTGGAAGATAAAGACAGAAGCAATGAGCGCATTGGCTTAGCTCAACTATCCCAGTCAACAAGCTCTTGATTCAGTTGAGAGACCGTGTCTCAGTGAATAAGATAAAGTCAGTTGGGTAAGGACTCCTCCACTTCATGTGCATCCACTTACATGTTACATGCACCAGACATACAAACACCAAAAAAAATTTTTTTAATTTTATGTATGAGTGTTTTGCCTGAATGTATGTAAGTGCACCTGTGTATTCAAAGCCTTCAGAGGCCAGAAGAGGGCGCCACATCTCCTGGAACTGGAGTTCTGACAGTTAGGCACCCTGTGGGTACTGGGAATTGAACCCAGGTTCTCTGCAATAATAGCCAGTGAGTGCTCTTAATCACTGAGCCATCTCTCCAGCCCTACCAGTTTTTTTTTTTAAATCATTACTTGATAGATATTTACCATTTTAGGACAGTTAGCCTTCAGTTTTATGATTTTCATCCTGAAGTTAATTTTTGTGGGGTTTTTGTTGTTGTTGTTGTTGTTAGACTACAGATAATTTGTTTCTCTACTGCTTTTAATTTCCATTTCAGATGGCCAAATGTGATGGTTGCAAGCGACAGGGTAAACTTAGTGAATCTTTGAAATGGAGAGGTGAAATAAAACACTTTTGTAACCTGCTTTGCATCTTGATGTTCTGCCATCAGCAAAGTGTATGTGACCCACCTTCACAAAACAATACAGGTAAAATTTAAAAAATAATGAAGTTTTTGGGCAGTGGCAGAAGCTAGCCACTTTTCCTGTACAGATTAGAATGTGTAAATAATTACAAATAATTTATATATAAGCAATGTATAAATAATGAAATGTAAATCTTACTGTATTCAAATACCATTAATATTTAAATCCTTTTATTTTCTTTTATAATATTGTAATCCTTTTATTGAATACCTTAAAGCCAGACAAATGAATTTTTGTCGTTGTTTTAACTTTCTCTGAGAATATTAACTCAACCAAAAAATAATGGCTGAACTCTCTGGGGGAAAAAAAAATGACAGTTACTGTTTTATAATTTTGAGTATACCTTGGCTTCCATAATAGATTTCAGACTGCTTATAACAAAAGACATTAAAGACTAAATCATAGGACCTTTGAAATATACCGTATATAGCCAGGCATGGTGGTGCATACCTTTAATCCTGCTAAGGCATGAGCCACATACAAAGTTCAAATTCAGCTTGGACAGCATTGTTTGATCCTGTCTCCATCAGTCAGTCAATTATATACATATTTACAATGTATAATCTTGGAAACTTTATGGTGTGCAAACACAAGTAGTTCTATCCTAAAGTCTAGAATAGTCTAAGTTTGCTAAAAACATAAATAGAAGCAATAACTATAAGAGCCTACTCCAGAAACTTAAACCTTTAAGGGACTGGACCAAGCAATACACAAATACACATAAAATAAAAATAATAAATAAAATTAAATAAAACAAAGAAACCTTTAAATCTGAAGGAAGGTTTAAGAAACATCTTAAATTTCTATTTAATCTCTTTTGTGATCTTTGTTTAGAATTGTGCCTCAGGGTCTCCCTATAGCTCCAGCTGGCCTAGAACTCATTTTGTAGACCAGGCTGGTCTTGAACTCACAGAGATCCACCTGCCTCTGTCTCCCAAGTGCTGGGATTTATAGGCATGCACCACCATACCCGACTCAAGTTAAACTTTTAAGAAAAGCTACTACCTTCGATTTTAGACCAAAGAAACCCCAAGAAGCAATGAAATTAAAATCCAGTTATTTGTAAAGTTGACTCTGTTCTAAAATATATTACTCAATACTGAGAACATTGATTAGCCTGCTTGAGATGTCGATTTCTATGTAAGAACATATGCATTACATGAACTTCCTTTGTTTTTATTTTAACCAGCAAGTATTTCCATGGTTCAAGCTGCTTCTGCCGGGCCCCCATCACACAGAAAAGATTCAACTCCAGTTATTGCTAATGTGGTGTCTTTGGCAAGTACTCCCGCTGCTCAGCCCACAGCAAATTCTAACAGTGTCTTACAAGGTATAGCTTGATTTCAAAGTATTTTTCTCACCATTTTGAGTGAGAAATCATATCTAATATGGTGTATCTTTTGTCCGTCATTGCTCATTTTCATGATTATTGTGGTCATTAGGACTGTCTGCTCTCTTTGCACTACTAGGATGTACAACAGTGTTTTCCCAAGTCCCACAGCTTGTTTTTTCATGTTTTATACTTAAGCACTACTGCTTGCTTTCCCAGAATTAAATTTGATCATGACTTTGTATTTATGGATAGCTTCAATACTAATGCTTCAAAAATTGTAAAAGATCCTTATTTTATATTTTATTTTCATATTAAGGTGCAGTTCCAACAGTAACAGCCAAAATCATTGGAGACGTAAGTTCTGTTTTATTTTTATTGATACTGTTATTGTATTTTCCATTTATATGTAGTAAAAAATATGTATGAGCAAATTTACTTTGCTTTATGGAGGAATAAAATTGTTGACAAAAAGAATTTCTTGATATTTAATTTGGCTTGTCATGTACATTGATTTGACTACTGTTGAAAAAATTTTAAAGTGAATAGTTAAACTAATTATACAGAATTAGGCATTTTATATTTCAAACTTTTTTAATGATTGTTCGTAATGCTTAAGTCTCCCATTCTATACTGATCTTGCTGTAAATTGCCATTTTTCCTTTTTCACGCAACATTGTCTCTCTCTCTCTTTCTTTCTTTCTCTTTCTCTCTTTTTTTTTTTTTTTTTGGTCTTTTTGGAACAGGGTCTCCCTGCAGCCCCTGTTTGGGGGGGGGGCACCAGGTTGACCTTGAAGTCATAGAGGTCTACCTGCCTCTGCCTCCTCCCACATGCTGGGATTAAAGGCCTGTGCCACCACACCCAGCTCAACATTGTGTCATAAAAGTTAGACTAAATAAGGAAGAAAATCAATAATGAACAAAATTTATGAGTGGAACAGATTTCTGAAAATTTTCCTGTCTGTGGACTAACTTTCATATCCTATTTGAGTTCCTTTCTTTAAAAAATCCTGGTTAGAGCTTCTATGTGTTAGCTTCTAACTCAGTCATAAAGTAACAATTCTCATTTAAAACTTGGCTAGCATTGCACTGGTTATTAATGTTTTACAATAAGCTTAGTGTTTTTCATGGTAAACAATAGTAATTAAACACATTCAGTTAATTGATAATTATTAAAATATTCCTTGATATTGCTGTCCATATTTTAGCCATAGTATATATTTTATGCAACTAGTATAATGTTTACATGCTGTTTCTTCCATGTGATTACAATGTGGTATGTTTTTAAATTATAATTCTTGTAATTACTGATAATATTTTGAAGTGGTTCCTGATTTGTTTGTTTTAAACTAGGCAAGTACACAAACAGATGCCCTGAAACTTCCACATTCCCAGCCTCCAAGGATTTTGAAGAACAAGGCTTTATTGTGCAAACCTATCACACAGACCAAAGCCACTTCATGCAAACCACATACCCAAAACAAAGAATGCCAGACAGGTATGTTCTTTGGACTTTATTATTTTATTTAGGGGAAAGGAATGGGGGAATCTGCTTCCATTGAGTATACCCTATGTCCTATTCTGTTGTTTATATACATTGCCCACTTTAGTTTGTACATTATGCTTGTCAATCAGGCATTTTCCCTATTTTAGGGGTAATAATTTAGATAAATTAACCCATAATACTATATTATAAACACATTTAATTTCATTTTTTTTAATTTGGTCTTTTTGAGACAGAGTTTCCCTGTAGCCCCAGCAGGCCTGGAACTCACTATGTAGACCAGGCTGGCTCACAGAGATCCACCTGCCTCTGCCTCCCAAGTGCTGGGATTAAAGGCATGCGCCACCACGCCCGGCTTAATTTCCTTTTTAATAACTGTAATATTGTACTCTAAGCTTGAGTATAATGTGCAGACTTTGAATTAAGAGCTGCTTCTTGTTTTCCAAAGTGCCCTTAAGCTTACATAGCTCAGTACTATTTTATTTCCTTATTTGTACATGTGATGATATATATATAGCCCTGTGTTTCATGGGACACCTGTCCCTAGCCCTTCACACCCTGCTTTAAAAAGTCAGTTACCAGTGGTTTTACAGTAAATATGAAGTGCAATATCATCTTTTCATTATATTGATTTCTTTTTCTTTGGATATATACCCAATAATAGAATTATTAAATAACATTGTAGTTTTGTTTCTAGTGGCTTTATTCTTAGTTGCCGTTTTTAAGACTCAGGGTCTTGTTCTTGTTCCCATGCTAGCCCTGAAATCCTGGCCTGAAGCAGTCTTACTTTAGCTACTTGTAACTTGAACTACTGTTTATTTTGAGACAGGGTCTCACTATATAATCCTGGTTGGCCCGGAACTTGGTGTGGACCAGGCTGTCTTCAAACTCAGATCATAGTGCTGGCATTAAAGGCATACGTCATCAGTCCTGGCTCACTTGCCACCCTTTTTTTTTTTTTTTAAATATTTTTAAAAAAATTACATTTGTTTACATTATGTGTGTGGGCGCTTAGTGTATGGGTAGAGATCAGAAGACAACTTGCAGAAATTAGTTATCTTCTTCCATTATGTGAGTTCTTGGAATTATGGACATAATTTTTTGAAGAACCTAATTTTTTTCCGTAATAGTTATTTGCTTACACTACCTAGCACACCAATGTATGCTCTTCCCCCAGCTCTTCCTTGCTTATCCACCTGGGGGGAGGGTCGGGGGAGTCTCTGTATGTCTTTTTGATAGTAATTCTCACTGAGATGAGATGTTACCTCATTCTTTAAAATTTTTATTCTGTGTATCTGTTCCTGCTTCTCTCTCTATATATATCATATGCACACCTAGTTCCTGCGATGGCCAGAAGAGGGCATTGGATCCCTTGGACTTTGAGTTACAGATGGTTTCTAGATGTCCTGTGGGTGCTGAGAACATAACCTTGGTCCTCTGAAATAGCAGCTGCTCTTAACCTCTCAGCCATCTCTCCAGCACCATCATTAAAATTTTGATGTTTGTTTCCTTGATCATTAGTGATACTAAGCTTTTTTTTTTTCATTTTTACTGGTCTAGCCAGCTTCTTGTTATTATACTGAAACACCTGTGGTATTTAACCTAGAATGACAAAGTTTATTTTACCCAGGTTTAGTGGACATTGCAAAGACATGGTATGGGGGAGTTTGTTCTTCGGTCCCATTACCTCATGGTGTGAATAAGATTAATGTGAATATCTGTGAGAACAAGTAATTGATTGCCTCTCAAACCAAGAACAGAGAAAGTAGGACCCTACAATGTCTAATGAGTGTGTAACCCCACACTATGGAGGTCTCCTGAAGTCTGCTATCCAATAGCCCCACCTTGTGGACAAAGTCTTAGCAGTAGCATTTGCTTCTGGGCCACAACCATATTCAAATTTTTGTATTATGCATTTAGATATATTCTTTGGAGAAATGTTTGTTCAGGCTTTTTGGCTGCTTATTTATTCTTTTGCTCTTAACTTGATTTCATTTATATTCTTTACATCCTTGTCACATGAGTAGTTTGCAAGTATTTCCTGCCATTCTATAATTTGTTTCTTATCTCCCTTTATTGTTTCTTTATAGAACTTAATTTATTTTTATTATTTTATTTATTTGTGTTAGTGTTTTGCCTGCATGTATGTATGTGCACCCAGGCAGAGCCATCCCTGGAACTGGCAATTGTGAGCTGCCGTGTGGGTACTGAGAACTGAATCTGATTTCTCTGCAAGAGCAGTGGTGCTTTTAACTGCTGAGTCTTCTCTCCAGCCCCTAGAACTTTTTTATTTTGGTATAATCTCATAGGTCAATTTTATTCTTGTTACCTGTTATTTTGCAGTGGTACCTTAAAGAACCTTTCCCCAGGGGCTTCGAGAGATGACTGAGTGGTTAAGAGCAATGACTGCTCTTGCAGAGGACCCAGATTTGGTACCCAGCACCCGTGGCAGCTAACAATTGTCTGTAACTCTAATTCCAGGAGATCTGACACCTTTTCTGTCCTTCTCAGGCATTGTATGGTCAGGTTCACTTAACATACATGCATTCAAAACACTCAAACACATAAAATTACATTTTAAAAATTTGCATAAAAATTTCCCAGAACATTGTCCTGAAACATTTCTCCTATTATCTACTTTATTTTTTTTCAGGTCTTACATTTAAGTCTCTATTTTTAATTGGTATTTTTTAATATGGCAAGAGGCAGATCTCATTTCTCTCTTCTGCATATATGAATATTCAGTGTTCTAGCAGCATTTAATGAAGATTTTGTCCTTTTTAAAGTGTAAGTTCTTGCGGGCTGGTGAGATTGGTCAGTGGTTAAGAGCACTGACTGCTGTTGCAGAGGACCCAGGTTTGAGTCTAAGAATCCATGTGGCTGTTAATAACTGTCTATAACTCCAGTTCCAGGGGATCCAGTGCCTTCTTCTGACCCTCATAGGCATTGTACAACATGGGTGTACTGCATGCAGGCACTACACTTATACACATAAAATAATAAAAATAATTTGCTCTCACCTTTTAAAATGCACTATTATTAATCTTTTCCCAATCCTCTTTGGTTTGTGTATGTTTTCTTTAGAAGATACTCCAAGTCAGCCCCAGCTTATTGTGGTGCCTGTTCCTGTGCCAGTGTTTGTGCCCATACCCCTTCATCTTTATACTCAGTATGCACCTGTCCCCTTTGGAATTCCAGTTCCTGTGAGTATTTATTTAGAGATTAATGCTAATTTAGCTTGCATTTTTCTTCATTAGAGTTTTAACAGCTATGTTAAGAAACTTTTCACTAGTTTGTGAAATGTACCTGGTTTTCATTGGCTGCTGATGTATTGCTATAGTTACTTAATATGGAAACTGTTCTTTTACCCTTAACACCTTGTGTTCTCAAAGAAGATTTTTTTCCGAAAAAGTTAGTAGCTTTGTGTGGTGTTTTATACCTATATTTCCATTACTTGGAAAGCTGAGGGAGCAGGATTCAGACAGTTTGAAAGCCAGTCTTGGCTACATAAGGATGGTCCAGACCAGTCTAGGCTATAGTGAGAGCCAGACTTATAAAATAAAAAAAGAAATATTTCTCACTTTTTATTAAATATATTTTCAATTAATATTTTGAAGTCAATTCAATCAATATTTCATCAATGTTTAAAAATGTTAAGCAAGAAAATATAAGCAAAAATCATTTCATAAGCAAAATAAAACTGTCTTATAGGATTATTCTTTTGAAGGATTCAGAAACATTTTGTTGAGTGTCCATGAAAGTACTTAGTAAATTATTGGTGGTGGGAAATTTTCTTTTTGTTTTTGGTTTTTTGAGACAGGGTCTCATTATGTAAACCAGGCTGGCTTTGATGTCAGAGATTCTCCTGCCTCTGTCTCCTGAGTGTTGGGATTAAAGGTGTGAGCCACCATACCTGACTGCTTACTAGATTTTTATTTTCATGGTTTTAGTTTTAGATTTTTATTTTAATGGTTCCAATTTTATAAAAATATACTACGAAGCCGGGTATGGTGGCACATGCCTTTAATCCCAGCACTTGGAAGACAGAGGCAGACGGATCTCTGAGTTCAAGGCCAGCCTGGTCTACATAGTTCCAGGACAGCTGGGGCTACAGGGAGACCCTGTCTCAAAAAGACCCCCCCCCCAAAAAAAATAGTACAAAGGCTCATAATTTTCAGCAATGAGAATATCTCAATTTATTTTCTTGGTTTTTTTGGGTGTTTTTGAGACGTGGTCTCCCTGTAGCTCCAGCTGGCCTGGAACTCACTATGTAGACCATGCCAGTCTTGAACTCACAGAATTCAAGGCTGGCCTCTCCCTTCCAAGAACTGGGAAATTTGTTCATTTTTAAAAATACTTAACTCAGAACCAGGCGTGGTGGCACACGCATGTAGTCCCAGCACTTGGGAGGCAGAGGCAGCAGATCTCTGTGAGTTAAGGCCAGCCTGGTTTACATGGTGAGTTCCAGGACAGCTGGGGCTACAGGGAGACCCTGCTTCAAAAAGACAGAAAAAAAAAAAAAAAAAAACCAAAAAACTTACAGATTCTAACACTAAACCTGCTCCTTAAGAAATCCTTGGTGGTTTGGGAGGTAGCTCACTTGGCAAAGTGTTTGCTTTGCAAGCATGAGGACCTGAGTTTGAACTTGAGGGTCAGTGTTAAAATCAAGCATACCTGTGCATGTTTGTAATTTAGTACTGGGGAGTCAATGAATCCCTGGTTCCTTGCTGGCCAGCCAGTCTACTCAAATTAGTAAGCTCCCAGTTTAGTGAGAGACCCTGTCTCAAAAAATAAGACAGAGAGCTATTTAGGAAGACACCTGATGTGGACCTCTGACTGCCACACAACCACAAACAAAAAATGGGAAAAAAATAACCCCTTGTTCTTTCAGATGCCTGTCCCCATGCTAATTCCATCCTCAATGGATAATGAAGATAAAGTCACTGACAGTATTGAAGACATTAAGGAAAAGCTTCCCACACATCCATTTGAAGCTGACCTCCTTGAGATGGCAGAAATGATTGCAGAAGATGAAGAAAAGGAGAAGACACTATCCCAGGGAGGTTGGTATAGTTTTTAAAAGTAAGGAAGAAAAAGCACACCTAAAATTCTGTGACTTTTAAATTGCACTATTGTTATTCATAAATTCTGAACCATATCCCATGCATTGGATTTTTTTTTTTTTTTGGTCTTTTTGAGACAGAGTCTCCCTGTAGCCCCAGCTGGCCTGGAACTCACAGAGATCATCCGCATGCCTCTGCTGGGATTAAAGGCGTATGGCCTTTCTATTCATGTTAATACTTAACATTCGTTGGATTCTCAATTTGCCTTTACAGAAAAACCGTAGAAAGTCAGCTTCGTGACAATGCTTGTAATTTGTTTAGGTAAAATGAAATGGTTTTAGGAGTATAGGAAGGAGAAATGATAGGATTTCAGACTGATTTCGCTTTGGTTTTAGTGAATGGACAAAACGGTTTCTTGAGTAAGCGCAAAAAAAATATTTTCCTTCTTTTAATCTTTGAGTTTATTTTTAGATATATTTGATAGAACTGTGTTCCTATCAGGTTCACATGCTTAAGTGCTCATGAAACATTCTGTTCTAACTCTGTTGCCCTTTCAAGAGAATTGTAAGTTATCATATTTGGGTTGGACATCTTAAAGCCTGTTTGTCAAATTTTCTGTGTGTTTGAGTATACAAAAACATTTCAAACGGCAGAAGAATGCAAAGTCAGAATGAACATTCCTTCGAGTATGACTTCTCTCATTACTACCTGGAGTGTAACTATGGCAAGCAATGTAAACAACGGAACTGCTTTTGCCATAAATGTTTCATTCTGTTAATGAAGTGGGCTTTGTGCATCTGTTGACTTAGAATTCTGTAGTGCAGTTCTTGCTATAAGGCTCTCTTTGATTTGAGACACAATGTTTTCTATTGTTTGCTCTTTTTTTTTTCTTTTCTTTAGAATCTCAAACTTCCGAACAGGAACTCTTTCTAGACACCAAGATATTTGAAAAAGGTTTGTAGTTGTAAATAAATTTTATTTTTAGCTATCCTATCCTCTGTTAGCAATAGAAACTCATAAAAATTAGTATACCTGGGTATAGTATTCTATAGTTTGAGATAATTTTAAGGAGCATTAAATGCTTCTAATAATACTAATGCAAATTAGTGCTGCAAATAATAAAAGCTTCCTGAACTGTTTGTTTCAAGGATTGAGATAATGCATTACAGTGTTTACCAAGAAAATGAATCCAGTTCTCTGAAGCTGTTAAACAAGTTACTTTATTCTTTTTCCTTATTTGTGTGTATGTGCGGGGGTGGGGGGGGCAAACAATAGCGGTGGTACACATGTGTATGTGGGTGGGTGTGCTTGCATGTGTGTGTGGGGTGTGAAGGTCAGAGGACAGCTTTGGGTGTCATTCCTCAGGCATGGTGCACTTATCTTTTAAAGGACAGTGGTCTCTCTCTCATCTGGAATTAGCCAAGTAGGCTAGGTTAGTTGGCCAACAAGCACCTGGGATTCACCCATCTCTGCCTTCTAGGTGCTGGAATTATAACATACCACACTGTACCTGGCTTTTTTTTTTTTTTAATACAGGTTTTAGGGATCAAACCCAGGTACTCAAGCACTTTACTGACTGAGCTGTCTTCTCATCCCCAAGTTACTTGATTCTTGGTTGTACTTACATAATTATCCAACAGTCATAGCTCAGTTTTTGATATATAGAGGTTCAGAAAAGTTTCTAAATACGTCAATAGACTGCAAAGAGGGTGTGTTTGTTTTTGTGTGTTTAGACCAAGGAAGCACCTACAGTGGTGATCTTGAATCAGAGGCAGTATCTACTCCACATAGCTGGGAGGAGGAACTGAATCATTATGCCTTAAAGTCAAATGCTGTGCAAGAGGCAGATTCGGAACTGAAGCAGTTCTCCAAAGGGGAAACAGAGCAAGATCTGGAGGCCGATTTCCCATCAGGTTTGTGTAGCATAGTCTGACTACCAAAGATCATTTATTTTAGAAGATTGACAAGGCTCCAAATTGACATTATTAAGCAGTTGGGATATGTTAGAGATTATCTAGGGCACAGAGATTCCTGCCTTTGTAAATGTGAATTTCTATCATAATATCCTTATAAATGGTTAATTTGATTTTTGAGCTTTTATAAAAACCTTCCCACAGTAACTACTTGTAAAAGATTTTTTTGTTATGAACTTTCCATTTATGTACTGTATTCTTTGTTTCTCTTAAGTTTAAGTGAAATTCTTGTTTTATCACAAACTAAATAAGAATACAATAATAATTACCTACTTTTTCTTTCCCCCATCGAAGTCTTTAAATCTGTGAGTTGCATACTTCACATTGTCCTTTTTGCTGATTATTGTAGAATCCTTTGACCCACTTAATAAAGGACAGGGAATCCAGGCACGTTCCCGAACCAGACGACGACACAGAGATGGCTTCCCCCAGCCCAGACGAAGAGTAAGCAGCAGCTTAATTTTTATAGAGTTTCCTTTCCTGTGTTTTAACAGTATTTATTAGTTCTTGCTGTTTACAAAGCCCTATAGCAGCCAAGGGCAGGTATTTTCATGCATTATTTTGCAAGCTTTTATTTTTGTGGTTTTCTTTCTTTTAAGGTGAAGAACCATATCTTTTATTATGTATTTCTTTCAGTTAGGACTTTTTGTTTTTAGAATTGAAAGGGTTTTTTGTTTTGTTTAGTTTTTTTGTTCGTCTTTTAAAAAACATTTTAATGATCTTTTATTTATTTGTTTTTTATGGGCTGGTGAGATGGTGCAGGAGGTAAAGGTGCATGTTGCCAAGGCTGACAGCCGGAGTTTGATTCCTGGGACCCACATGGTGAAAGGAGAGAAACAACTCTTGCAATTTATTTTCTGACCTCCATTAGCATTTTGTGGCATATGTGTGTCACATATAAACACAATAAATAAAATAATGCATTTAAAGATTCTGTTTTTGAAAGAATGATCTTTTTTTGCTGGGTGTGATGGTGCATGTCTTTAATCCCAGCACTCAGGAGGCAGAGGCAGCCGGATCTCTGTGAGTTCAAGGCCAGCATGGTCTACATAGCGAGTTCCAGGTCAGCTGGAGCTATAGGGAGACCCTGTCTCAAAAAGAGCAAAAAAGAATAGCCTTCTTTTTAATTAGTTGTTGAATTATAGTTGTATTTAAAGCAGATAAATTCAAAATGCACTTTGTTTTGGTTTAGGCAAATTACCACCATGGTCATGAACAATTCCATTGCACCAAAAAGTTCTCTAATCTTTTTTTTGTGATCAGCCTCCTATACAGATGTTGACAGTCACCAGTCTAATATGTGAATAGTTACAAAATAATACTACTTTGCCTTTTCTGAAACATAAATAGTATCATATGTAGTTCTCTGTGTCTTAATTTTTTTTTGACAGCATAGTGCCTTTGAGGTTAATCCATGCTGCTTTGTGTCTCCTTGGTTCATTCTTGTTTCTAAGAAGCATTCATTATTTTTAAAAAAAGAAAAAAAAAAAGGACCAAATTTTCTTCAACTGTGTAACAAGTGTTAGAAATTTTTATTATTTACAATTTTGAGCTGTCTTCTAGAGAATTGCTAGGATGATCTTAGAGTAAATCCTTGTGTGATTATGTTTTCATTTTTCTTGAGGAAAATTATTTAGAAATAAAGTTACTAGGTAAGTATATATTTAACTTCATAAGACTTTTCTAAAGTGAGTGTACTGTTTTACATTCCTACCAGCAATGTATTGATAAGTACTATGACTTTGCTAACAATTGCTATTGTCAAATTTCAATTTTAGCTAATCTGGTAGATTGTGGCTTCAGTTGTTTTTTACCTGACTACTAAGATTGTAGAACATTTTTTTCATATGCATAGTCGCCATGTGTATGCCATCTTTGGCAGAATATCTAGAGTGTGGCACACATCCTCCTCCTCTTTGGTGTTGGGGAAAGTGGTGGTTGTCACTTAGTTCTGACTGTTCTATGGGTGTGTGTGATGGGATTTTATTGTTTTTTGAGATGGCTGGCCTGAAACTCAACAGCACTTCTACCTCTACATTTCATGCTGGGATTATAGGTGTTCACTAATACTGCCTGATACAACTATTACTTTTATGGCCATAATTCCTTTATCCACCAGGAGTTTTGCTCCTGTTCTATGGCTCATTCATTTTATTCTCAGTCTCGGGATTGAACACAAAGCCTTGGGCATGCTTGTGCTACCCTGCTTAGCTATGTTCCTAGCTTTTTGGAGGGGCTCTTTGGATGTTTATGGGGGGGAGTTGTCCTTTTTTTTTAGTTAGGGTCTTCACATAGCCCTTGTTGGCCTAGAAATCACTATGGAGGCCAGGCTGACCTCAATCTCACAGAGATATACCTGCTTCTACCTCCTGAGTGCTCGGATTAAAGGAGTGTGCCACCAGATCTGCCTCTTTTTGTTATTTTTGAAACAGGGTCTCATGGAGCTCAGGCTAGCCACACATTTTCCAGGTAGCAGAAGACAACCTTGAACTCCTGATCCTCCTGCTTATTTTGTTTTCCTTAATAGTTAATAAAATACTTCAATTTTGAGAAAGTATTCATTTTTATTCTTTCATGGTTGTTTTTAAATGCTCCATCTAAAAATCCTTATCTAACTGATGGTATCTAAAGTATTCCCTTACATTTTCTTTTATTTTTCTGGTCTATTTTGACTTAATTTTTGTTGTTGTTGTTGTTGTTTTGACTTAATTTTTATGCATGAGTTGCATATGGCTAAACAATTTTTCTAGGATCATTCTTACATGCCTTTAATCCCAGAGGCAGAGGCAGGCAGATCTCTGCCAGCCTGGTCTACAATAGTGAGTTCCAGGACAGCTGAGGCTACAGGGAGACCCTGTCTCAAAATAATAATCATAATAAAAAAATAAATAAGTAAATAAGAGATTGCCCTTTTCCACTGAATTACATAGGCACTTTTACTTAAAGGTACACTGAGTGTTTGTTTATAAGTTGTATTTCTGAAATTCTCCATTGTGTTGAATTTATTTTTTACTATTTTTATATTTTTTTGGAGGGGGTCTTTTTTGAGACAGGGTCTTCCTATAGCCCCAGGTGACCTGGATTCGCTATGGAGACCAGGCATGTCTCAAACTCACAGAGATTCACCTGCCTCTGCCCCCCCAGTGCTAGGATTAAAGGCGTGCCCCCCCGTGCTAAGATTAAAGGCGTGTGCCACCACGCCCGGCCTACTATTTTTATGCTTGCATTAGCTCTCTTTAAGGATTTTAAAAAAATTATGCGTATGTATGTGAGTATATGCAAGTAAGTGCTGGTGCTTCCGTAGGCCAGAGGTGTCAAATCCCCCTGGAACAGGAGTCACATATGTTTGTGAGCAGTATGTGCTCTTAACCCCTGGGCCATTGTTCTAGCCTTCAGTACCAGCTTTATTGTCCTAGAGTCTTGAAATTGAGAGAGTGAGCTTTTTAATTTTTTTTTACTTTGTTTTATGTGTATGTGTGAGTACCTGCATGTGCACATATGTGCACCATGTATATGTCTCTTACCTGTAGAGGCCAAAAGATATTGGATCCCCTGAAACTTAAGTTGCACACAGTTGTAATCTGAAAAGTTGTTGCTATGAAACAAACCCAGATCCCTTGCAAGAGCAGTATACACTCTAACAATTAAGATCTCGGGCTGGAGAGATGGCTCAGTGGTTAAGAGTACTGACTGGTCTTGCAAAGGACCCATGTTCTCTCCCCCGCACCCACATGGTAGCTGACAACCAACCATCTGTAACTCCAGTTCCAGGGGATCTGACACTGTCTTCTGACCTCCGTGGGTGTCATACAACATGGGTGCGCCTGCCTTTACATGCAAATAATACACTCTCTCCATTTCTCTCTCCATCTCTGTGAGTGTTATCCTACTTTCCTTAATTGCTATTTTCATATTTATATAATCTATAGGTTCACCTTGATTTTTCTTTAAAACAAAACAAAACAAAAAAATACTGGGCTGGAGAGATGGCTCAGCAGTTGAGCACTGGCTGCTCTTGCAGAGGACTCGGGTTCCATTCCCAGCACCCACATGGCGGCTAACAAATGTCCTCGCTCCAATTCCAGGGGATCTGCCATCCTCCTCTGACCTCCATGGGCATTGCAGTGACAAGGGTGCACTTACACACATGCAGGCAATACACTCAATACACATAAAAAATAACAGTACAATTTAAAAGACAGCGAGAATTTTTATTGCTGTTACTCTGAATTTGTATAGAGTGGACATCTTGACAATTTGAGTCATTTACTGTATGAACATGCTATCTCCCCCATCCATTCTCTCCAGCTCCAAGTTTGTTAACATTTTGTTTTTTAGGGTTTTAAGTTTCTCTGTTCTCTTGTAAATGACTTTGTATAGTTTTGGTGTTGTGCTATAAAGTGACTTAGTGTTTCCTTTTGTCAATTTATTTTCAGCTATGGTCTTGCTATATAACGCTAATTGACCTGGAACTCAATGATGATCCTTCTACCCCTGCCTCCCTAAGTGTTGGGACCTTGCCACCATGCCCAGCCTATGAGAAAGTTTTAAATTATAAATCATATTTATATAGATTTATGTAATTTTTTCCTAGAATAAGCTTTTTGTTTTATATCTTTTTAGAATATATGTATTCTGGGACTTGAACTCAGGACATGCATGCCAAACAAATGCTCTACCACTAATCTAGATATCCTTAGTCCTTTTAATTATCTTTATTTTGAGATCGTGCCACTTAGTTGAACACTGAGCATTGAGCTCACATTAGCCTAGGCAGATCTTCAGTTAGAAATTTTTCTGTACCAGGCTCGTGAGTAGCTGGAATTACATATATTTATGTATATTTCCCATATCTGGCTTAAGAATTTTTTTTTACTTGTAAGTTGCCAAATTTATCGGCGTATTCTATTTAAGTTTTAGGCATGAATTCACAAATTAATTTTATCAGATTGTTATAAATAATGTTTTAAAATTTCTACAGCTTCACAGATTGGTAATTTATATTTCCACTTTTCTTCCTAATCATCCTACCTGGTGATTTACTGGTTTTTGGTTTTTTGGTGTTTGGGTTTTCTTGTGTGTGTGTTTTTGAGACAGGTCTCTCTCTAGCCCCCCCCCCCCCGGATTCGCTATGGAGACTAGGCTGTCCTCGAACTCTCAGAGATCTGCCTGCCTCTGCCTCCTGGGTGTTGGGATTAAAGGCATGTGCCACCACGCCCAGCCAAATTTTTTAAGTCAGGATAGGAAATGGGATAACGTGAAGGTATGCTTCTGGATTTGAAAAATAGAACTATGTATCACTGCCTTTGAACAGTCTTGCTAAAAATATTTTCAGTCTGAATAAGCCTTAGGACAAACTCTCAGAAGGAGCGAGAAAGAGAGACTAGTAGCTTGTTTTTGTTTTTTTTTTTTTTTGTTTTTTTTTTTGTTGTTTTTGAGCCCTGGTTTCCTCCCCCCCCCCCCCCCCCCCCGAACTCCTTATGTAGCCTTGCTCTTACAGAGATCTGCCTGCCTCTGCTGGAGTTAAAGGCCTGTGCCACCATGCCAGCTTTGTTTTTGAAGAGCCAACTTTCAACATACAAATTTTGCATTTTTTCACAGTTTTTTCCCCCATTATTTTTGTTTTTCCTTTTTTGTTTAATGTTTATTAGCATATATTAATTATGCATAATACGTTCCATTATATTTTCCTGTATGTACATGTTGTATTTAGGTCGAATTCACCCTTCTCTTCCATGACCATCTCTTGTCATTTGTTCCATTATGCGTACATGCATGTCTATCTGTGTGTGTATGTGCGTGTCCTTCCAGATAGTTGCTTCTGGTTGAATCCGTCTCTCCCCTATAGATTGTTAACTTCAAATAAAACTTCAGGAAGGACTGGGGACTCTTGAGCCATTCTCCCCTTCATATTATTTCCTTCTTTGTCCTTTTGTTTTGAGACAGGGTCTTACTGTGTAACTCTGAGTGACTTAGAACTTGCGATCTAGACCGGCCTGGCCTTAAAATTGCAGTGATCCTCTTACCTTTGCCTCCTAAGGGCTGAGATTACTAGCATATGTCACCATGCCCAGCTTTGTTCAGTCTTAATTGGCATTTTAATTGGTTCCTCTTTTTCAATTTTTTAAGATAAAAACTTAGGTTGTGAATTTTTGCTTTTTATTTCCTTTTTTTTTTTTTTTGGTCTTGTTTTGTTTTGTTTATAGTACTAGAACTGGAACCCAGAGCCTCATATATGTTAGGCAGTGTTCTGCCAGAGTCATCTCATGTTAGCTGCCATGTAGATGCTGAGAACTGAATGCAGGTCCTCTACAAAAGCAGCCAGTGCTCTTAACCAATGAGCTACCTCTCCAGCCCTGAGGCCTATTTTATAGATTAAAATATATTCCTAATTGATCAGAGTGGTCATAATGGTTATATCTCATTGGGTGGTTCCAGTGTCTAAAAAATGCAAGAAACCCAAATGTTAGTAATTAATATAGTGTGATCTTCTGCATTTAAGTCATTTTCTTCTTCCCTTTTTCTTTTTTTGGCCTGGAACTCAATATGTAGACCAGGCTAACCTCAGAGGTCTGTCTGCCTCTGCCTCGTAAATGCTGGGATTAAAAGTGTGTGCCACCACATCCAGCATTCTTTGCAGTCTTTTTCATATGATCTGGATTAGATAATTTCTTTTTTAAAAAACATTCTTTGATATTTATTTTTATTTTATGTGTATGAGTTTTTCTTGCATTTAGGTAGGTGCACTTCTACATGTGATGCCCACAGATGCCAAAAGAGAGTGTTTGATTCCTTAGAACTAGAGTTATGGATGGTTATTAGCCTCCATGTAGGTGCTAGGAACTGAACCTGAGTCCTCTACAAGAACAGTCAGTGCTTTTACCCACTGAGCCATCCCTCTAGTCCTTCGTTTTTTATTTTGTATAACTAGATCTCTTGTTGTCTTGCTGACCTTGAACTTTCTGTAAAGAGGATAATGATCTTGCACACCAGATTTTTTTTGCCTTAGCTTCCCAAGTTCTAGAACATGTGTGCACCATCTCACACCTGTCTTGTTTAGATTGTTTTTAAAGCCCTTTCAGCTCTATAAACTCTGCCTCTTTAGGATATGGAAGTAAATTCTATAGTTTACGCCTTTTGCAGCTTTGAGAACTCTGATTCTTAAAAAATCAAAACTAAATTTTATGCTCTGTAAATTTTTGAAATTCTCACAGGGGCGGAAGAAGTCTATAGTAGCTGTGGAGCCCAGAAGTCTTATTCATGGAGCCTTTCAAGGGTGCTCAGTGTCTGGGATGACGTTGAAGTATATGTATGGGGTAAATGCCTGGAAGAACTGGGTTCAGTGGAAAAATGCCAAGGAAGAGCAAGGAGATCTAAAGTGCAGTGGTGAGTGCATGGCATGAATTTGTCTCTTTATTTAGATTTGGGAAATAGAAATTAAGTTGCAAATCTATACATAAAATTTAGGACTTGGATTTTATTTCTTCTCCTTGCTCCTCCTTGTACTTTAACTCTCTTGTTTGTTTCTTCATCAGGAGGTGAACATGCCTCAGCCAGCCCAGGCTCTGACTCCTTAGGAAGTAATCAAGACCAGGTACTCTGTCAAGAGTCTTCAGAGTCAGCCTGTAAAGGTAAAACTTGGTTCTGAGTCTTTGTTATGAATTATTAATAATATTGTTGGTTTAAATTTGTGACTTGGCCAAGTGTGGCTCAAACCAATCTTCCCAGCACTGCAAAGGTAAAGGCAGGAAGATCCAGAGTCCAAGGTCATTTTCAGCTACATAGTGAGTTAAAGGTTAGGCTGGACTTAGGATATTGTGTCTCAAAAGATAAAAAGATTGGTGAATTGAATTTTTTTTTGGCTTTTTGAGATGATTTCCCTGTAGTCCCAACTGAACCTGGAACTCTCTATGTGAACCAGGCTGCCTCTGCCTCCCAAGTGCTTGGAATAAAGGTGTGTGCCACCGTGCCCGGCTGTGATTAAATTTTTAAATTTAAGGTTTTAAGTCTTAAGAAAGAGCATTTAAGGCCAGGTGCCTTTAATCCTGGCACCAAGAGTCAAAGGCATGTAGATCTCTGTGAGATAGAGGTCAGCCTGGTCTACATAGTGAATTTTTGGCAAGCTGTGGCTATAGGGAAACTCTGTCTCCAAAAGACAAAAAACAACAACAACAAAAAAGCATTTAATATTATAACTCCAGTTTTAAAGAGATTATTATGTAGGCAAAGTTTTATCTTCTGGTGGTTTATTTAATCAAACAAATGTATGGAACTTTTGTATGCATATGTGTGTGTTATGTGTAAGTGTATCATGTGCATATAGTATCTGCAGAGGCCAGAACAGGGCATGGGATCCTCTAAATGTAAGTTTAAGGATGGTTGTTGGCTGCCATGAGGGCGTTGGGAACCGAACCCACATCCTGTACAGGAGTAGCCAGTGCTCTAGCCACAGGAACTTTAAAAATAATCTTTCAAAATGATTTCAAATGTTTTCTTGAACCCTCTGTCTATATGGAACCCAGTGTTGAAAAATACCAGGAAAAGATTTGCTGCTTCTGTAGGAATTTTCCTTGTCATTGAAATGTGCGAGACTTTTTTAATGTTTCATTTCATTTTACATGCAATTTAGAATCAAACATTCCATTACTTAGGAAGTAATCAAGACCAGGTACTCTCTCAAATACAGCTACAGTATAGTTTAAGACTTACATAAGTTTTCACTGTTTTTGATGTGCTAGTCTAGATTTTTAGTTTTGTATTTTACTTTGTTATCTTGGTTGTGTACTAATAGAATCCTTGTGGAATGATTTGGGTTAGAAAACTGAGTTATGTTCATCTTAACTAGATTTTTTCCTCCCATTTTCCAAGTTAACTTTCAAGTGGGTGATTGCATAAAGTTCTGGCCTCACATGCTAGCGGTATACTCTAGCTTCGGTGTACACACTTCTGCTCATTAGAGCAGTTAGTGCTGTTCTGGGCTGTAGTGACTCATAGTTCCTGTAGATTATAGGTGTAGTCTTTCTAAGGGTTTGTAAATATTCTTCAGTTCCAAAGGAATCCAGCTCCCTCTTCTGACCTCCACAGGTGCTGCACAACATAGGTGCGCTTACATGCAGGCAATACACTCATACACATAAAATAAAACTTAAAAAAAATGTTTTTCAGTGGGGGACGGAACGTGTCAGTAGTGAAAATAGAGTGGTAATACTGTTTTAGGCTACCAGGCCAAAGTGCAACCACCCATAGGAGGTCTGCCCTCTTCCACTGCTCATATTTTATCCCCACAATATTATAGTATCTCTTACTTGCCAGACATGATGGCCAAGTCCTGGGGTAAAAAAATCATCCACATCAGGGGCTGGAGAGATGGCAACACCCACATGGTGGTTAACAGCCGTCCATAACTCCAGTTCTATGGGATCCGACAGTGCCTTCTGACACAGGTGCACGTACACACATGCAGGCAATATACTCATACCATCAAATAAAAATATTTAATAAGAATAATAAATAGGGACTGCAGAGATGGCTCAGCAGTTAAGAGCACTGACTGCTCTTCAGAGGACCTGGGTTTGATTCCCAGCACTCATGTGGTGGCTGCGAACTGTCCTTAACTCCAATTCCAGGGGAATCTGAAGCCCTCTTCTGACATCCACGGCATTGCATGACACGAGTGCACTCACATACATGCAGGCAATACACTCATACACATAAAATAAAAATAATAAATAAAATATTTTTAAAAGAATAATAAAATATTTTAAAGATCCACATCAACAATGATCCTTTCCCTCAGGAACCTCTACTTACTTTGTGTAGAACTAATGTACAAGAGTCCCAAGTGTATCTTTGGAAATAAGCGATCCCGCTTAAGTGCAGAATAACAATGACTAGAGAGAATATTTTCATTCTAATCTTATAAAACATCAATCAAACTATTACTATCTAGTGACGCAGTAACTCCAGTCTTAATTTCTAGAGCTACGGTGGTGTTTTATGTCATCTGAAGTGTTCTAATAGTCTGTTCTCAGACAAAGAAGGTTAAGCAGCATATCCTCTCCTCCCAGCTACCCCCGTGAATATTCTCAGTACCTTTAATGTACTAGTAGACCCTTGGAATTCCTCAAAATTTTCAGAGGTAAATACTATAAGTTGAGTCTTCCAAATTTTGTGGTTGTTTTTGTTTTGGCCTTTTTGAGACAGGGTCTCCCTGTAGCCCCAGCTGACCTGGGGTCATATAGATCAGGCTGGCCTTGAATTCACAGAGATCCATTCATCTCTGCCTCCCAAGTGCTGGGATCAAAAGCGTGTGCCACCACACCCAGCCATGTTTTCCAAATTTAATCTGATCTTAGAAAGGCAGTTTTCTCCAATTCCCACATAGAACTAACACCACAGTTTCATGTGTCCTAGGCTGGACTTGAGCTCTCTATGTATTCTTCAACTCCTGATACTTCTGCATCTTTGTCCTGAGTGCTGGGGTTACAGGCATGCACTGCGAAACCAGTTTATTTAGTGCTGGGAATCATACACAGGGCTTTGTACATACTAGGCAAGCACTCTACCAGCTGAGTCCAGGACTTGTGTTTTGTTAAATATTCTTTGGGAAATCTTTTGCATCTTCAAATTGACATTCTTTACCTACCTACCTTTTTAATCTTTACCTCTTATGTTCTAGCCGTTTAGAATCTTACTTGGATTTTTCCCTATGAGATCTCTTTACTTTCATAGATCCCTGTTTAAACAGAGCTTCTTTCATATGCAGTACTTGGTCTGTATTTCTTTACGTGAAAGAGTCTTGAAATCAAGATCTGTTTCTTGTTTAGTAGGTTGATTTTGAGATAATGGGTTTTTTAATATATATATTTTGTTTATTATTTATTTTATGTGTATTGCCTGCATGTATGTAAACGCATTTGTGTTGTGCAATGCCTGCCAAGGTCAGAAGGTTTTGAATCCCTTGGAACTGGAGTTAATATGGTTGTTAGCCGCTGTGTGGGTGCTGGGGACTGATCCTAGGCCCCCTGCAAGAACAGCTCATGCTCTTAACTGGTGGACTCTCCAGCCCTGAGGTAGTGTTTTCTGTGTAGCCTAGGCTAGCCTGGAATGCAGGATCTATTGCATCAGCCACTGGGATTACAGATGTGTGTTACAATGCCTGGTTTACAAGGCTGGGGTTTTTTTTGTTTTGTTTTTTTTTTGGTCTTCTTGAGACAGGGTCTCCATGTAGCCCCAGCTGGCCTGGAACTCACTATGTAGATCAGGCTGGCCTTGAACTCACAGAAATCTGCCTACCTCTGCCTCCTGAGTGCTGGGATTAAAGGTGTGCGCCACCACGCCCAGCTTACAATGTCTTTTAAAGCAGTGCTTGGGACACAGTAGTACTCAGAATTTATTCAGTTATTCTCTAATGTGAATAACACTAATGTTTGCTACAAGTTAATATTCCAGGTGTATTCTATCTTTCCACAGTCCGCTCTATGAAGTTGAAGGAAGATATTCTATCCTGCACTTTTGCTGAGTTGAGTTTGGGGTTATGTCAGTTCATCCAAGAAGTGCGGAGACCAAACGGTGAAAAGTATGACCCAGACAGTATCTTGTACTTGTGCCTTGGAATTCAGCAGGTATCAAGTTAAACAACTTAGTAATTTGATGTCATTTAAATCATTCTGAGATAACTTCTGAGTTAAGCAGAAAGTTTATAAAGAGTATTAGTTATGTACTATTCTTAAACTTCTTTAATGAGCAGTGTCTCTGATTTAAAAGTCTTGATCACGTTTTAGCCCTTTATAAGCTAAATTAGGACTGTAAGTAGAGTAGTAGAAATTGTAGTGTGTTTTATAGATAAATGAACAAAAAGGGCATAAATAGCTGTTCACAAAAACTATGTGTCTGTGTGTATCTATCTGCCTATATGCATGTAAAACGTGTTTCATTAAAAAATTTAAAATATAGAAGCCAGGCATGGTGGCGCACTCTTTGATCCCAGCACCCATGAGCAGAGACAAGTGGATGTCTCTGAGTTTGAGGCCAGCCTAGTCTACATAGCGAGTTTTAAGCTAGGTGGGGCTGAGGGAGACCCTGTCTCAAAAAGGCCAAACATTTTTTTTAAATACAAAGTAGGGTGCTGGAGAGATGACTCAGTCCTTAAGAACACTGGCTGCTCTTGGAGAAGACCGAGATTTGGTTCCCAGTTCCCACGTTTGCTGGACTTCAGTTCCAGGGAATCTGGTGCCCTCTGCTGGTCTCCAGACATTGCACACACAGGTGTGTAACATGCAGGCAAAACACTTAAATGTACAAATAAAAGTAAACATAATATTTAAAAAAATAAAATGCAAAGTAACAGATAAACAGGTATTTACCAGATTTGCAAAGATTCAGAAGATTCTGACTCCGATAAAACAGTGTTACAAGATAGTTTTTCTGCACAGCTGGAGGCATTTAATAATACTGTCTGCAACAGTTTGAGCATACAAATTAGAGCTGTTTTCAAGTTTCAAACTTTTTTTTTTAATCAGTAATTCTCTTCTTGTACATTTCTTCTAACTGCATATTCTGGCCAGGTCTAATTGGTTGTGCCTATAATTCTAGCACTGGTAAGGTTGAGGCAGGAGGATTATAGGTTTGATGTCAGCCTAGGCTATGTAGTGACACCCTTTCTTGAGGAAAAAAAAAAAACTCATTACAGTTGAAGAATATAAATATAAATAGTCACTACAGTTGAAGTTCAGACATCTTTTTGAGTAACTATCACCTTGGTGCTTGGCAATAATGATAGTTAAGAAATGAAGGGATATTCATAAAGTTTAGTATATTATTTAGTCAAGAAGTTCATTTATAAATTGGCATCTAGTGTTATGGTAGCATGTACCTGTGATCTCAGCTACTCAGGAGGATGAGACAAGATGATTGCAAGTTCAAAGATAACATAGGATATATCTCAAAAAAAAAAAGTAACAGCTAGTGCCAGTGAAAATATTAAGGCATTTAATAAAATCAAAATATAAATTAGGTGACTATCACTATATAATGAAAGAATAATATAAGCCAAAAATTTGTCAGTCTATGGATGGTGTTTGACCACTGAGTTTTATACTTCTATTTGCCAAATTGTCTTCCATTTATATGTGAGGTTTTATTTATTTCAACTATTTATTCTTTAATTACAAAAGTAAATTGTGCTTAGTATAGCTGTTAAAACAGCTATGTAAAGAAAATTTATCTCCCTCCATTCCAACTTGGTGTCGTCGCTTTTACTAGGTATCCTTCACCACCTTCTTTGTTACTTCCTTTGATATGACTGAATATTGGCTAATATTTTTTTGTTTTGCTTAGTTTGTGTGTGTACTCGTGTGTGGGGGTGCCTGTGCCTTGGGCACACATGCGGGGGCCAGAGGAGGACATCGGTGTCTTTATCACACTCCCTTATTATCTTGATAACAGGGTCTCTCACTGAATCTGAAGCTTAGTGTTTTAGTTAGGCTGACTGGCCAGTGAATCCAGAAATCCACCTGTCTCTGCACCTGACACTAGGGTTGCAGGCATACCTGGCGCTGCTTAGCTTATACGTGGGTGCTAGGGATTCAGTGTTCTGTCTTCATATTTGCACAGCAATTGTTCTTACATAGTAAGCTGCTCCCAGGCCCTGCTTTGCTTATTTTTTAGCATAATGGGAACCTATGCAACATACATTTTCCAATTTGCTTTTTTGGAGAAGGATATCCTTCCAGATCAATATCAATCATTCTTTCTTTTGAGAAAGCATTCTGGACAGATGTGGTGGTGTATGCCTGCAATTCTGGTCTCAGAAGACAGAGACAGAAGAATCACTGCAAGTTTGAGAACAACCTGGTATACATACCAGGGTCAAGCCATCTTAGGGAGCTAGGTATTAATCTCAGATACTCAACTCATGCCTACACAGCCAGTGTTTTACAGACAAAGCAGTCTCCTCAAATTTGAATAGTTAACCTGGGTGTGGTGGCGCATGCCTTTAATTCTGGGAGGGAGAGGCAGGCAGATGTCTTGTGAGTTCAAGGCCAGCCTGGTCTACATAGCAAGTTCCAGGCCAACTGGGGCTACAGAGAGACCGACCCTGTTTTAAAAAAAACCAAAAAATTTAAAAAATTAATGGAGTACTGGGGGCTGGAGAGATGGCTCCACAGTATTGACTGTTCTTCCAGAGAACCCAGGTTCAGTTCTCAGCATGGTGGCAAGTAACGGTTGGTAACTCCAGTTTAAAGGGATCCAAAGCTCTCATCTGGCCTCTTTGGGCTTTGCACAATACAGGTGTACTTAATGTACATGTAGGTAAAACACTCATACACATAAAAATAATATATATATATATTTTTTTGTCTTTTTGAGAGAAGGTCTCCCTGTAGTCCCAGCTGTCCTGAACTATGTAGACCAGGCTAGCCTTGAACTCAGAGAGATCCGCCTGTCTCTGCCTCCCAAGTGCTGGGATTAAAGGTGTGTGCCACCATGTCCGGCTTAAAATATATTTTTTTTTAATTAGTGGAGTATCGTATTTTGATATAAAAATGCATTGTTAGGTAAGTATAAATTACCTCCTTAAACATTTATTATTTTATGTTATATAAACTTTAAGATCTGTTTTGAAATCTTTCCTTTTCCCCCTTTAAATAAAATATTCATGGGATTGGAGAGATGGCTCAGCAGTTAAGAGCACTGACTGCTCTTTCAGAGCAGCTCTTTCAATTCCCAGCACCCACATGGCAGCTAAGAACCATCCTTAACTCCATCCAGTTCCAGGTGAACCCGAAGCCCTCTTCTCACCTCCATGGCATTGCACGACATGGGTGTGCTCACATACATGCAGGCAGTACACTCACACTCATACACATAAAATAAAAATAATACAAGAATTTTAAAAACATGTTTATTTTGTGGGGGCGGGGCTGGATGTCCCATGGTGTGCATGTAGAGGTCAGAGGACAGCTTATGGCAGGAGTCAGCTTTTTCTTTCCACCTTAGGGACCCTGGGGATCAAATTCTGGTGATCAGGCTTTTTGGCAGGCACCTTTACCTAGTGAGCTATCTTCTTTGCTTTCATGTTTTAAAATGTATAGCACATTATTGTTATCTGTAATCACCCTTCCCTTCTGTGCTTTAACACACCAGAACTTCTTGCTTCTATCTGGAGCTTAGTGCCCACAGCTCTTTTGTTTTAGATGCCACATACAAATGAGAACATTTGGTATTTGTCTTTCTATGCTAGGCATATATCAGTTAGCATAATGTTTTTAGTCTATGTTATTTATTAAAAACGACAATTTCCTTTTTAAAGTCTGGATAATACTCCATTGTGTATCGGTACCACATTTTTCCTTCATCTGTTTATGGATACTATATTAGTTAGCTTTTCTCATCACTGTGCCAGCGTACCTAACAGAAGTAACTTAAAGGGGAGGATTTATTTTGACACAGTTCAGAAGACACAGTCCATTATGATGGAGAAAGCATGATAGTGGGAGCCTGGGGCTTGTTCTCATCATGGCACCATATGGACCAGAAGTTGCCCTCGAAGGCCTAACCCTGGAGAACTATGTCTGCCTGGTAGGGTCCATTTCCAAAACAATACCCACTAACTTGAGACAGTGTTTACAGACACAGGTGCCTATGGGACCATTTCATATTCAAATTGCAGCAGACACAGGATTACTCCATAATTTGGCTGCTTTGGATAATGCTAGAATGAAATACTGATACTAGTCAGTAAAGTGCTTGTAGAAAGGGCATAATAACAAGAATTTGGATCCCTAGAACTTAAAGGAAAAGCTGGGCATGGTGGTGTCTGCCTGTAACCCCAGCTCTGGAGAGGCAGAGACAGGCAAATCTCTGAAGCTTCTTGGCCAGCATGCCTAGCCAAATCAATGAATTTTCTGGTTCTGTGAAAGAGTCTTTCTTGCCGAATAAAAGGTGGAAAATGGGAGCCGGGCGTGGTGGCGCACACCTGTAGTCCCAGCACTTGGGAGGCAGAGGCAGGCGGATCTCAGTGAGTTCAAGGCCAGCCTGGTCTACATAGTGAGTTCCAGGACAGCTGGGGCTACAGGGAGACCCTGTCTCAAAAAGCCAAAAAAAAAGGTGGAAAATGTTTGAGGAAAGATGCCCAACATTCACCTTCGCTTCCACATGCCAAGGGCATGTCCTTGCAAATACATACGCACACATACACAGAGGCTTGTGCACACACAGACAAAGCATATTTTTTCATCTTTGAGTTTATTTATGAGGTTTATAGTAATTTACTGTCTCACCAGCAGTGTATAACAGTGTCCATTTCATCACTATTTTTTTGTACTACTTTTTTTTGTATTTTTTTTTTTTCGGATAAGGTCTCTCTAAGTCCCAGCTGGCCTGGAACTTGCTGTGTAGACCAGGCTGGCCTCAATCTCACAGAGATCCTCCTGCCTCCACCTCTTGAGTGCTGGGATTAATGGAGTGTGCCATTACACCCAACTTGTACTTCAGTTTTGGTTTTCATTATTTCAGTGGATTAGTACTGTGGCTTCAGTGTACATTTTTCCAACTTTTGTTTGTTGCTTTGCTGTTTTTTTTTTTTTTCAAACTCCTATTTATTTTATTAAATACAAGCCTG